GTGAGGGGATTTTGTGGCCACTTGAACGTGGTGTCAGGATGTTGGCCTCTCGGTGACCGTAAAGAGATTCAAGACATGTGGCCATGACTTGGGACGCCCTAGCTGTAGCCCAGAAGGAGAGCGAGCGAGGTGGCTATCTATGATTTGGTCGTGGGGGCCGAATCTCCGTGTATGAAGTGGGGTGTAGACCTTGCGGGACCGTAGTATTTACTTGGGATAGCTAGGGCCAGCGCCTAACCCTAAAAGCCAATTCTCTAACCTGAGGGGGGCTTGTCTCTCGGAATGATGTACTTGGATGTATGTAGATACTAACCTTGAGTGTTTGTCCTGTTTGTTTGGACAATGCGCGGGAAGACTTTAATGTATAAATATATACTTCTGCGGAGAATGGGTCCAGTCCAGGAACCTAAGGGGAAGATAGATGCTAGTGGGCCTGAGGCGTGCCACTGGTATGCCAAGTGTAAAAGTGTCGAATGTATGGATAGGTGTGTATCAGAGATACTGTAACGTAAGAACCTGTGTAAGCTGAGGGACCTGAACGTTGACCGTAAATTAGAGACAAGCCCCTGAGTTCCCACAGATGTAAAAAAAAATTGAATGTTACGAAGGCGAAGTGAGGCCTTTAAAGAGAATGTAATCGTAGTGAGTTAGATGAACGATACCTGATACTGAAATGCAGGGGACCAGGCACCCTGTTGGTTGTTGATGGCGTAGCGAAACTGCGATAATGACGCAGTTCTAAGTAATGATATGTAGAAATGACAAACAAGAAATGATACATTAATATAATAGTAACACGGTGTAGGTTTATGAGATTGTTGTTGACATCTTAGTGAGGAATCTTGGACCTGGTGTGATTTTGAAGTTTAGAATCCACTTTGGGAGGTGGGGAGGCTGTATAAGGCCGTGGAGGCTGAATGAGGCCTCAAGGGAAACGTAAAAATGGTAAACCTTCTTACCTTATACCATGAAACGGATACTGGATACCACTTCCTGAAGATTTTGTTTGAAGAAAAGTAGTAGAACTTAAAACATATGCATTCTTAGTATAAGGAACCCGAGTATAAGGTCTTTATTTAAGGAAACAGAGATTTGCAATTTGAGCTAATGATCTGAAATGAGCCTGGTGAAAAAGGACGTAAGAACTTAATTATTGACATGTGTGAGCATGGCGACCTTAGTCACGCAGACGACTTGTTTGTATACTAGGGAAAGGGGAAATAAAAAGTACTATGATGGACTAAGTTACAGCGGGGTTAAAAATAGGTGTTTGATGATGTATTGGCCTACTGATATGTAGATGATTTGAGGCCGAACTGTGTCTTTAAGATTCCCCTGAATAAATTGTGTCCAACATTTAATGTGATCATGGACGGGGAAATAGTGCCACACAGACTTAGTTATTTAGGTAGTGGAGAACCATAAACGACACATAAATTGATAAGATAAAGAAATGAAAAAGGGGTGAGCACTTTCGTTATAGTAAAAGGCCTAATGAAGTACATACATGACATATATTGAAATTTTCATGCTGAAACCTCCTGCATTCGGCTAAGCGAACGAACGAGAGGAGTATAAAGAAAAGGCCACCTGGATTCGGCTAAGTGGAAACATACGAAAGACTGCACGGGAGCCGTTTATAAGTGTTCGGCTGTACGAACATAAGACCAGGCGAACTTAAGTAAGTATGTGCGGTCGGTAGTTAATTTAAACGAAAGAAAACGAAAGTGTGTGTACTCTGCGATTGGCTGTTAACCGCACGAACGCAGAAGTACACAAACAGAGTATGTTCACGAACGGGTAAGTAATGAAGGGAGCCTATCCCCGCGTTTTTAGGCCTGAACGTGGTAACACACCATCCCTAATTTGTAGTGATTTATTATAGTAGACAGTGCTTCTCTTTGGTTTACTAGGGGTGTATTATTGTGGGGTTAGATCTTAAGTGTGGGGAAATCGAATGGTTTAATACTGGATATTGACTGTTTTAGAACCTAAATATATATGTTCACTTAACACCCATATAAATGAATGGTTGTCTAACATAGTCCATTATTAGTATTACCTCATTTGGATTCCAATACCACCTGTACGCTGATGACACCCAGATATATCTCTCCTCCCCGGACCTCTTCCCTGCCGTCTCTGACTGGATGTCCTCCCACTTTTTGAAAGTCAATCTCTCTAAAACTGAGCTCCTTGTCTTTCCTCCTCCTAATACTGATCCTCCTCTTTCGCTCTCCCTTTAAGTTAGTGGTATCCACATAAGTCCATCCTTGCAAGCGCGCTGTCTTGGCGTCATACTCGATTCTGGCCTCACCTTTGAGCCTCACATCCAGTATGTTGCCATCTTAAAAACATAGCCCGCATCCGCCCCTTTCTTACGTAAGATGCTACCAAGGAGCTTGTCCATGCTCTAGTAATTTCCGGCATGGATTATTGTAACCCTCTCCTATTTGGTCTTCCCAAAAGCCGTATTGCCTCAGTCTGTAATGAATGCTGCCACCAGACTGATTTTCCTCTCTAGTTTGTCCTCTCATACCTCACCCCTCTGTCAGTCCTTACATTGGCATCCTGTAGGAGTCAATTCAAAGTGCTAACCCATACCTATAAAGCACTGAACAATCCCTCTTATATCTCTTCACAGATCCATAGGTATGGCCCTTCTCGGTCTCTCCGCTCTGCCCCTTACCTTCTCTTGTCCGCTGCTCGCAGGCGTTTGGCCAACTCACGCTTGCAGGACTTCTCGCAGGCGGCTCCCTTCCTATAGAATAGCCTGCCTACTGCCATCAGACTCTCCCCTAGTCTTTAATCGTTTAAAAAGTGCCTTAAAACTCATCTCTTAAAGCTTATGCCTTAAAGCTTATGGCCTCCCACAGTAACCTCTACCTCACATACCTGTCTCTTGCTCTCTCCCAAAGGGCAGCACTTTACTCTCTCCTCCAGCTCTGCTTCACTCCCACCTTATTTGATGGCTATTTCCTGTCCTAATGTGTTTTATACCCCACCTCCTATAGACTGTAAGCTCGTTTGAGCAGGGTCCTCTTCAACCTATCGTTCCTGTAAGTTTTCTTGTAATTGTCCTATTTATAGTTAAATCCCCCGTCTTATAATATTGTAAAGCGCTACGGAGTCTGTTGGCGCTATATAAATGGCAATAATAATGAAAATGGTAACAATGAATGCCAAGTCCACTGTTTTTATACTTATTACATTTTGGATTTATTATGCCACAAAACTCATCTCTCTGCCTTAATCAAAGTTTATGGCATTCTTAACATCAGTATTTTTTGTAGATAAGATAGCACAACAACAGTAAGCATTAAGGAAACAACGGTATGGTATGCAAATTATCTAAAAGAATCTCATGAACACAGCTCTCTGAAGACAGATTGCATTTATTCTAATAATGTCTCTGCAGTGGCGGCTCTAGGCTTTGTGAGGCCTTAGGCGAAACTCAAACATGAGGGGTTGCATAGTGAAAAAATAAATAGGGTTTGCATTGTATGTGTATAAACTGCTGTAGCTATATTGACCAATCAATCAATCAATCTGCCCTAAGGCGAGTTAAATGGCTGCGGGGCACCAGTTAGCACGAGATCTTAGGCAGCCGCCTAACTCACTTAATTAGAGAGCCTCCTCTGTATCTCTAAATTTACTTAAAATAAAAATCCATAAATGCAACTGCATGACACAGCACCCTATCTACCATAAACCACAATTCAAATAGAGTAATACAGGTTTTAGTTGATAAGAAAGTTTTCTGTTCAGTTATACCACCCTAACATTTTATTTCCATTGACATTTCTCCACAATGCACAATATAGTGAATAAGATAATGCTGCTAGAAAAAAAAAAGTTATATTTTATTAAAAATACAATTAAAACTATAGATAAAAGGCATGAGTGCTGTGATATAGCAATGCACCATACATCACAACAACACGCCAGTTACAGCATCCACACAAATGAAGCTAAACATGAAAACACAACATTAATCATGCAATCATATCTGCAGTTTTTTTTTTTATCTCATACCATTTTCTCAGATGAAGAAGTAACTCTGGAACCTTCTTGTTTAATCTGTGATTTTTGCTGTGTTTCTGTCATATTCCTAGGTTCCTAATGTGGATCTCCAGATCTGTCTAGTTCAAAGTGGAAAATGACTGCATTCTCGGTGGTTCCTTAAAACACCTCCATTCAGTGAGCTTAAATTTCATTAGCTAACTTTTAAAGTCTGTCATATTCTGCCCATGGGAGTTCCCACAGGACCAGATGACTTTCGGCCTAAGCTTATTATTTAATAGGTTAAAATCATCAGTTGTCAAAAAGCAAACAAACTGGTCTAACTCAATAAAAAAAGGCTTGAGGTATTTGGACAAAAAATAGGAATGTAGATGAAAGTGCTTCTTTCTATGAGAAAACTAGTGCTGCTGTGACTGTGTTTATGTGCAAAATGTATATTAAGGTAATTAACGCCCAAAAGCACTATTATACAAATATGGAAAACCATTAAAACAAATCATGGTTTATTATATAGGTTTTCCTTGTGCTTTTATTTTTAAAGAGTCAGTTAAAGGTGTTAGTTTGACTTATTTAGTCACTAAATGAGCTGCAGTTCTTTGCCATGGTGTACTTTTTATTAAGTCCAAGATCTCTCTGTTAAAATAAAGTAATTATAGCGCACTTTATTTGTTTTCATGCATGAACACATCTGTATGCATTTTGCAAACACATAAAACTATAGGCTGCGTGCGTCATGCACAAAGCTGTTATATCTCAGTCTCTTGTGAACAGGTAAGACAGCCTGGCTGTAAAATATGTAGTTGCGGGAGGTGAGAACCGATATAGGGAGGAAAACAGAAAATTGATGACATACTCAACATAATTTAAGAGACATGAATGATTAATTAAACAATTCACAGGTGATAAAAGGCCCCTCCTCTCTGAGCTCCCCAATTTGTTAAAAAGCTGTATCTAAATAGAGGGAGTGTGATGCTGGCATGCAACATGGCCAAGAAAAGAAAGTTACGGTATGTCACCAATTTTTTTGTCTTCCTAACTAAACATGGCAGCATCACTTATGGTTTATATCTACACATGAATCTGCATGAATTCTTCTATCATTTTATGAATTTGGTGGACACCTTATAGTTATTTAACACTATTTTGATTGCACAGTAACTTACCAAATTACTTGCACATTCTTTAAGCACTTTAGTAAATTTCTAGTTTTTTTTTTTGGTAATTATTACTTATTAGCAGTTTAGTACTTTGTGACTTTTGCCTACGTAATTATTCGTGCCATAACATATCAGATTTTGTCTCACATCCGCGTGATGAAAGTCATGATGCCTTGGGGCATGCACTGTTATGCTGACTGTGCTGGTGGATGCGCGTTTTATATTAGCACCTTCTGACCCTGGTGCGAGTCTTTTTAGGGTTCAATTAAACACCTGGGATTTGTAACGAGAATATACCCCTACACGCAGGATCCAGCTAAACAGAGGCAAATACAGAGGAGAGATACGTCTACCGGACCTTAGAATGGCCGGACTCGACGTATATGAGAGGAGACAGAGCCAGGAACAAACCGAGGTCAAGGGCACAGAGAGACAGCGTAAACTAGGACAAGCCGGGGTCTGGTACACGGAAAACAGCAAGCCGGCAAACAGTACAGATAAGGATAAAGCGAAAACGAAGTCAGAATACGAAGCCAAAGTCAATACGAGAAAACACAACTGAACACCACAAGCGCTAAAGGGAACTGAAACAGAAACCACGATAGGGCAACGAGCTAAGGGAAAAAGGTAAGTTTAAATAGCTTTTAAACGAAAGTGATTGGCTCCTGTCACTTCCACACCCCCTATAGGTAATTGTATAGGGAGTGTGGTATGACAGGAGCCAATGGGAGCCTTTTGGCAATTAGGCTCCCACTGTCTCTTTAAGAGCGCGCCCGAGACTCGCGGCGCGCTCTTAGTTTCAGGCGGGACACGTGACCGCTTCACGCGGTCACTGCCTGCCTTCCATCCAAAGCAGTCGGATGAGCCACGCGCGGCTCGTGCAGCCGCAGGACCGCGCGCGGCTTGAAGAGAGGATCGCGACCGGCCCCCGGTTAAGGTAAGTAACGCTACAGGATTGGAAGAGAGTGCAGTTTTCCCACTGCCTGCCTTCCATCGAGGATTGGAAGAGAGTGCAGTTTTCCCACTGCCCGCCTTCCATCGAGGACCGCGACCGGCCCCCGGTTAAGGTAAGTAACGCTACAGTACCCCCCCCTGAGGACACGCCCCCCGGGCGGGTAGGACCAGGCCTGGCAGGAAAACGAGAATGGAAAGAGCGCACAAGACGGGGAGCATGGACAGCATCAGCCGAAATCCAACTGTGCTCCTCAGGCCCATAACCCTTCCAATGTACCAAGTACTGAAGTCGACCCCTAAGGAAACGAGAGTCAAGAACAGCAGACACTTCAAACTCCTCATGACCCTCCACCGAGATAGGAGGGGGAGGAGGAGTATGCCGGGTATAGCGGTTGCGTACGAAAGGTTTCAACAATGAGGTGTGAAAAACATTAGGAATACGTAGATTCTTAGGCAGGCCTAAGGCATAAGAAACAGGATTAACCTTATGTATAATACGATAAGGTCCAATGAAGCGGGGAGCCAATTTCATAGAAGGCACCCGGAGACGAATATTCCGCGTGGAAAGCAAAACCCTGTCCCCCACAACATAGGACGGAGCTGCTCTGCGATGCTTGTCAGCCTGAGCCTTCTGGCGAGTAGCAGAGTCCACCAAAGAACGCTGAACCTGCTCCCAAGTATTACGCAAACCAGCCAAATGCTCATCCAGAACTGGCATGCCCTGTGAGGAGAATGCAGCCGGAAGAACAACGGGATGCTGGCCATAGACAACGTAAAAAGGGGTCTTGCCGGAAGAATCATGAGTGGCGTTATTCCGAGCAAATTCAGCCCAAGGAAGCAGGTCAGACCAATTGTCCTGATGGTGAGACACAAAACAACGGAGGTATTGCTCCAGAGACTGGTTGGCACGTTCAGCAGCCCCATTAGACTGGGGATGATAAGCGGAAGAAAATGAGAGAGAAATACCCATTTCTGAACAAAAGGCCCTCCAGAACCTGGAAATAAATTGGCTACCCCTATCGGATACAATAGATACGGGAATCCCATGTAATCGAAATACTTCTCTAGCGAAGATATGAGCCAGTTCCTTGGATGTGGGCAACTTGTGAAGAGACACGAAGTGAGCCATTTTGGAGAACCGATCCACTATCATCAGGATTACTGTGTTACCATTTGAAGGGGGTAATTCAACAATAAAATCCATGGACAGGTTAGACCAAGGTCTCTCGGGAACGGGTAACGGATGCAACAGCCCACAAGGAACTCTACGGGAGGATTTCATACAGGCACAAGTAGTACAAGCACTTATATAGTCAGTGACATCCTTTCGTAAGGAATCCCACCAAAAATACCGAGAAACAGCTGACACCGTTTTGGAAATACCAGGATGTCCAGCAGTCTTAGTATCATGATATAATGACATAATATCCTGTCTCTCAGGAACATCAACGAACAGTTTATCATTAGGCCTCTCGCTAGGTGCCATGCTTTGTTTCGCTTGTATGGCCTGCAAGAGGGACGAGGAAATAGACAAAATAGTAGTAGCTATTATCCTGTCTGGGGAATGACAGGAGTAACATCAATCTCCTGTTTGTCAGTAGTTTCGAACTGTCTGGACAGAGCGTCTGCTTTAGTGTTGCGATCACCTGGCCTATAGGTGATAATAAAATTGAAACGGGACAAAAATAGTGACCACCTAGCCTGCCTGGAAGACAATCTTTTGGCTTCGCTAAGGTAGGATAGGTTCTTGTGATCCGTAAAAATGAGGATAGGATCCTTAGTTCCTTCTAACAAATGTCTCCACTCTTTAAGTGCTAAAATAATAGCAAGGAGTTCGCGATTACCCACATCATAATTTTTCTCTGCTTTGGACATTTGTTTAGAAAAGAAGCCGCATGGATGCAATGGCTTTTCAGGCGACTCTCTTTGGGATAAGACAGCACCTACCCCAATATCCGAAGCATCAACTTCAAGAATATAGGGCAGTGAGGGGACAGGATGCTGTAAAATAGGTGCAGAGGCGAACGTAGTTTTAAGAAATTCAAAAGCCTGAAGTGCCTCGGTAGACCAAACACGAGTATTGCCATCCTTTTTAGTCATACGGGTAATAGGTGCTACAATGGACGAGAAACCTTTGATAAAACGTCTATAATAATTGGAGAACCCAAGAAAACGCTGAATAGCTTTCAGACCTTGCGGTAGAGGCCATTCTATTACAGCAGCAAGCTTCTGGGGATCCATACGAAAACCTTTAGCGGAAATCAAATACCCCAAGAACTGGACTTCGGTTTGGTCAAACAGACATTTTTCTAGCTTGCAATAAAGACCATTAGCAAGAAGGGTCTTCAAAACTGTCGTAACATGTCTGTGATGAGTGTGTATATCTGTAGAATATATTAAAATGTCGTCCAAGTATACGATAACAAATGTGTGAATAAAATCTCTTAAGACATCATTAATAAATTCTTGGAATACTGCTGGGGCATTGCAAAGCCCAAATGGCATAACAGTATATTCGTAATGACCGGATCTAGTGTTGAATGCAGTCTTCCATTCGTGATTTTCCTTTATACGTATCAAATTGTATGCACTCCTAAGGTCTAATTTAGTGAACACAGTGGCATGTTTCAGCCTGTCAAATAATTCTGTAATTAAAGGTATAGGGTATGCATTTTTGATAGTGATTTTGTTTAGACCTCTATAATCTATACACGGTCTTAAATCACCTTCTTTCTTCGATACAAAGAAGAACCCTGCTCCAGCTGGAGAAGAGGATCTCCTAATAAACCCCTTTTCTAGTGATTCCTTAATATACTCCTCCATGACACGGTTTTCTTGAACCGATAAGGGGTACACCCTGCCCTTTGGAGGTATAGTGCCAGGCAACAAGTCAATAGCGCAATCATAGGGTCTGTGAGGCGGTAATTTCTCAGCCTCCCTTTTATCGAAAACAGTCTTTAGAGATAAATACTGAGGGGGTATAACCGTAGACAAAGGAGGACTGGTAGGTACCTCAATAGAATTCAAAGGTGTGACTTCCAACGTACAAGACTCGTGGCAGGCCTCACTCCATGATTTTATTTGCCCTGTCTCCCAGTCAAAAATGGGATTGTGAGCACGTAACCATGGATACCCTAATACTAACTGTGAAGAGGGAGAGGTGATGACCTGGAATCGAATGGTTTCATAGTGTAAAACCCCTGTGTACATGTGTAATGGTACAGTCTCATGAGTAACAACTGGAGAACTTAATGGTCTACCATCTATGGCCTCAACGGCCAAGGGTATCTCCTTCTCTCTGATGGGAATGTTGTTTCTCTTTATAAAGCCAGAGTCTATAAAATTTTCAGCTGCCCCAGAGTCAACCAGAGCATATATGTTGTCAACTATACAAATCTCTCCCATATATAAAGAAACCGGGAGAAGCAAGCGGTTAGGAGGCAATTTAGGAGACTTAGATATCACACCCAAGGCCAGTCCCCTATAAGGTCTTAGGTGCGAGAGTTTTCCGGGAGTAAAGGACATTCCTTTACCATATGGTCTCTCCTACCACAGTATAGGCAGAGTCCCTCCCTTCTCCTATGTAATTTCTCAGTATCAGAGAGTTTGGCAACCCCTAATTGCATAGGTTCCTCCTCAGACACTTTAACACTCTCTGGTATATTAACTCTGGGGTTAATGGGTGTAACAAAACATCTATTCCTGTTCTTGGTATAGAGCCTGTCACGAATTCTATTATCTATATCAATGAGGTAATCGATAAGGTCCTCTAAGGCAATAGGAAGCTCCTTAGCTGCTACCTCATCCAATATCGTATCTGACAAACCTTCCATAAAGGCAGTAGTTAACCCATTGTTGGTCCAATCTACCTGCGAAGCAAGAGTGCGAAACTGAATAGCATAATCAGCCACAGACCTAGAACCCTGTTTAATTCTCATTAATGCTCTCGCGGCATTCTTTGACCTTTTCATTGTGTCAAAAGTTCTACGAAAAGCCGTAAGAAAACTGTTGAAATCATGTACCATAGGTCCATTAGCTTCCCAAATAGGATTTGCCCACTCAAGTGCCTTATCGGTAAGTTGGTGCATAAAGAACCCAACCTTAGACCTCTCTGTGGGAAATGAACGTGGATACATTTCGAAGTGAAATTCAATTTGATTAATAAACCCTCTGCAAGTCTTAGAGTCCCCTCCATACCTAGGAGGAGGTGTTAAATGGGCCGAAGTATTAGGCAAAGTAGATACTTCAGGGAGAAGGGGCGTAGGAGGGTTAGGTGTGGTTGCTGGAACGGTTCTAGCTAGGAGCGTCTGGAGAGCCTGAGCTATCTGATCCATACGGTGATCCTGCTCTACAAATCTTGCCTCATGGGACGCCATCTGTTGAGCTAAATCTGCGGGGTCCATGGCCCTATCGTAATGTAACGAGAATATACCCCTACACGCAGGATCCAGCTAAACAGAGGCAAATACAGAGGAGAGATACGTCTACCGGACCTTAGAATGGCCGGACTCGACGTATATGAGAGGAGACAGAGCCAGGAACAAACCGAGGTCAAGGGCACAGAGAGACAGCGTAAACTAGGACAAGCCGGGGTCTGGTACACGGAAAACAGCAAGCCGGCAAACAGTACAGATAAGGATAAAGCGAAAACGAAGTCAGAATACGAAGCCAAAGTCAATACGAGAAAACACAACTGAACACCACAAGCGCTAAAGGGAACTGAAACAGAAACCACGATAGGGCAACGAGCTAAGGGAAAAAGGTAAGTTTAAATAGCTTTTAAATGAAAGTGATTGGCTCCTGTCACTTCCACACCCCCTATAGGTAATTGTATAGGGAGTGTGGTATGACAGGAGCCAATGGGAGCCTTTTGGCAATTAGGCTCCCACTGTCTCTTTAAGAGCGCGCCCGAGACTCGCGGCGCGCTCTTAGTTTCAGGCGGGACACGTGACCGCTTCACGCGGTCACTGCCCGCCTTCCATCCAAAGCAGTCGGATGAGCCAAGCGCGGCTCGTGCAGCCGCAGGACCGCGCGCGGCTTGAAGAGAGGACCGCGACCGGCCCCCGGTTAAGGTAAGTAACGCTACAGGATTGGAAGAGAGTGCAGTTTTCCCATTCTGTTTTCAACTAATATTATTCACGACTAGTCACAACAGCTATCTTGATGAGTAATGGCAGGCAAGAAAGGTAGTGGCAAGGTTGAAAATCAGCCCTTTGCCTTTTTTATTTTATCACACATTTGCAGTTTAATGGGGTCATAGTAGGTATAAAAGAAATCCGTTTGTATAGTCTTAGATTGTGGAAACACTGCAGAAATTGAAGGACGGAAAAGGAGCTGAGAAGATCACCAGTCATGCTCTATCCAGTAAGGCGAACCATGAAAGATTGACTTGAACACAGACTGGGTTAGAGACTGGAGCAGGTTCTGCCAATGACTGATTTCATTGAAAAGCAGATGGAATCATGAAACTCTACAATCAGTTCTTTAAGGTCGTAGCCCATCTGTTTCTTGTTTGACATACAATAAAAGCTATGAATACTGTTCATTAGTACTTCTTCCTACCCATCACTAACTCCCCTCTCTTGTGTTATTTGGTGCATTTGTATGGTTCCATGGAAGAAGTGCATCTCCTTGTGTGATCTAGTGGATGATGATGTCATATCTCTATTCCCAAAACAGAGTTCTCTCCATCCTCTCGCTAGATCATCTAAGTAAAGGTTAGGTGCCATGTGATATGTATGTCTTTCTTCTTTATTAGACAAATAATCTCATGGAATGTAACTGTTTTAATGTTTGAAGTACACTACTGCATACTACAGTTGAACCTCATGCAGCCCTGGAGCTCACTAATTTTATGGCAGCATAGTGTGACTGAACCCCCTATATTTTTAAATGTATTCTATATAAACATTTTTAACGTTTTAAAGCTGTTATATTGAGGCTGAACATTGATCAGCTAATGTATTCTGAGTGGTTTTGGTTATTTCAGCAAAAGGGAATTGGGGGGCACAACAAACGTGCATTCCTCAATAGTGGTGCTGCAGTAAAGACTATAATATATACAAAGTGTACCTCCCCCTGAGCTGTCTGACAGCCAAGAGGATGTAACAAGATTAAATTATAGGAAGGACAATTTCCATTGATATTTGCACTTTGTAAAATTAAAAAAAAAGAGGCCACTCTCGTCACATATAAAGTACTTCAATAAGCTTAATTGCTTTAGGGCAGAGGTGTCCAAGTTTTCTCTGCAATGGGCCCCTTAATCAGAAATGTATGTGTGCGGAGACAGCGATAATTTTTCACTGAGAGGAAATATAACCTTTTAGCTGTACAATGCATGTTAATATTGGGTTAATTTGGCAATAATGCAAAAGCAGTCAAAAACAGTTTTTAGATCAACTTTTATATATCATTCTAACAATACAAAATAATGTAAACAGTAAAACAAAGTCAATCCACAAACCATTTAAAACAAGTTTAGCCAATGAAAACTATACAATAAGGTTACGCAATTTAATGAGAATACTGGTAACGGACTGAACACTTTTTGAAAACTCTGGAGTGTATTCAGTCAGGGCACATTTTAATTCAAACACCAAGTTAACATAACTTAACATGGCTCTCAGCTTGGATTTGAGCAGCTTCATAAACAAGAATGTGCTCTCACAGAGCCAAGTCAAACTAAACATTGCGCAGAGGGCCAAGTCGACCCAAACATTGCCACAGCTTGGCAACATAGGTTGAAATTTTTGGAGAGTTTTACAGATGCTGCAATATGCAGATAGCAGGGCGATAATAGGGCACAAACTGTGTAAATCAATGCACCCATTTAGCTTAATGCCCCTGGCATGTGGTGGTGTATGCCAGCAAAGAGTCGCCACAAACAGGCCTTTTAAAACCCAGAGCACCTCATTTGAATGTCATTATTGTCTGTGCATCTCTTTATGGGCACAGTTTACCAGTTTTCAAATTGGTACTTTCTGCAGACACTATTATCGAAATGTGACAAGTTGAACAAAGTGTGTTGTGTGCTCCAAAACAATCAAGTAGAGCTTTAATATATCATATTAAGAGCACAAATTGCCTCCAAATGGACCAGAAAATCCAGTGATGCAGTTTACCAATGCACATGACTCATTAGTAAAAAGGTGAACTGAAACCATTCTAAAAGAATTGCTCAAGCAAGCATGGCTTAAAAGTGTAAAACCTTTCCTACACGCTGTCTTCTTTCAGACATAGTGGAATGGTTATGGTTGTCAAATTAACACCATTTATTCTAAATATGCCTCTTAGCACGCCATGTTTGATAAAGCATAACCCGTTGTAGTGTCTTTCCTCTTTCTTGTTAACATTATTAGAAGGTTTGAAGCTGTAAAATGTACTGCTCATAATCTGACAGATAGTCAATAACCAATATTCTCTAATTTTGGCCTGGAGGTTCATGGTCTCACAAATCTAAAGTTAATATCAGTTTATTCCTCAACCACTTCTGGGTCCCATTACTGGTTAACGTTTACACTACCACCAATAAAGTGCAAAAAAAATTAATCCAACTATTCATGTGACTATGTAATATAGCATTCCTAGAGTTTTTGACAACGGTACAGAGATAAAATAAGTAGGACATAAAGTTTCAGTAATTTGGGGCAAATTTCAGATACTTCCCATGATGCAATGTCTGATCAACATTTTCATGCTGTGGAGACTTACAGTGCTTTATAACAATACGTTGATCCTATTGGCAACACACTGGTGAAATGACATCAAAGTGAATTTTAGGAATTCAGTCACATTACATTATCATGTGATTGGGTTGGTTGTTTGTTCAGTGCTGCTACCATGAGTTGTACCAATGAGGGAATACTTGACTGACTGGTAGTCATCATCCTGTAAGGGGTCATTTTTCTTTAGCTCTAAAGAGAACAAGTTAAAAAGTTAAAATTAACACAGTAACAATTCATGCAGTGTGTAATTCATATGTAAGGTTGCCATCTTTATTGCAAAAAAAAAAATGTAATGCTAATTTGCATAATTAATTATACAGTCCATAATATTATAGAAAATCACTATACATTTTAACATAACTAACTTTAATCTGTATATATATATATATATTGTATTTCTCATTTAAAATTTACCTGGAAGTTTTAAATTCCTGCAGCAAGTGTTACATTCATGCCGAGAGCAGAAGTTTTGGATGGCGTCATCTCCAAGGTTTGCAGGACCAAATATCATATCATGTGATCTGGAAGACATAGAATATTAACAACAAAAGAGTATGATAATTAAAAAAAACAGAAAAGGGTGGTATGATAAGAGAGATTGGTAAAATGTTTCATCAAGCATGTCAAACATGTGGTCCGCGGGACGTATATGGCCCACAATGAGTATCTTTGCGGCCCAGGGCCAGACAGGCCTACCGGGATACTGGGAAATTGCACAAGAGTGCAAAACATTCTTCCACGCCAGCCATCGGATGTGTGCATACAGAGTATGGAGTCATATCCGGTGTCTGCGCAGCAATGCTACTGTGTGCAGAGTGGCTGGCTGTGTGCAGAGCAGGCCAGCCACTCCCCTTGCCTTGCTGCTCGCAGTGCTAGAGGAGCGTGTAGCCTGCTTGAGCAGAGAAGATCATGCAGGGCTGGACTGAACGGCTTAAGGTAGCGGAAGAGGGGCTTGGGGGAACCTTCTTGTAGTGTAGTGTATTAAATGGGTGAAGGCAGAAGGGGGACAATGTATTAGAGTAGTGGGAGGGAGGCAGTAGAAGGAGAAGGGGCAGTGTATTTGGGTGGGAAGAAGGGGACAGTGTATTAGAGTGGTGGGAAGGGGCAGTGTATTAAACTGGGGGAAGGGAGGAAATGCAGTGTATTAAATTAGAGTGGTGGGAGTGGGGACAGCGCATTAAATTAGAGTGGAGGGAGTGGGGCAGTGTATTAGGTTAAGGAGAAGGAGAGGGGGCAGTGTATAAGAGTAAGGGAGGGGAGGCAGTGTATTAAATTAGAATGGTAGGAGTGAGGGCAGTGTATTATAGTAGAATGGATGGAGAGGGCAGTGTATTAGATTGGGGGAGGGCCAGTGTATTAGAGTGGGGGGACGGGCTGCGGGAGACTGTGTATTAGTAAAGATTTCTGGTCCAGGCTCAGAGACTGCATGAAAGCAACAAGAGGTAAACCACCAATACTTACCTTGCCTCCTTCCTATCTGCTGGGAAGAAGCTTGCCCCAGAGGGCTGCGTGTTCAGAGTGGACCGAGGCTGAACACGTGGGATGGTGAGACAGGTCCGGCTGCGGCAAATTCAGCGCTTAGCCCAACACCAATCATACGGCAGAAGGTGCAGTCCTACATACTGAGCAACTAGCACACCTGTGCAGAAGACATTGGTGTAGCAGTCTGCAAGACACCTCTCACTACAAGCCCTGCCTAGCCCCCCCTCATTTGCACACTGGAAATCCATGCTCCTATGGATCTGCGTTTTACCCTTTCTGGGCACAGATGGACTGTGATTTATGCCCGACAGGCATAGGCTAAAAGGACATGGTTCTGCTTCCTTCCTGACATGGAACTTTGCCACTGATGTCACTCACCCACTTGCAGCCTAAGATGGATATATTTTAAGCATGTGTTTAATTTGATGTTTGTTTTACCCTATACGCTGATCATTAACATGATTCTTGTTCACAGTTAATCCATTATGGAAGCGACTTCTCTTATTATGATTTTCTAACAAAAATGGGGCAGTATTTTTATATTTGTGACATCTTGTTTACAATCTATTTGCAAGGTCTTTATTTTCTTGTGTTGTTTACCATGCACTACAAAAACAAATTATTTTTTTTTTAAATTGCCCATCTCCCTAAAGACCTGAAGCTTGATAGAAATTGAGCCAAAATAATCTGATTTTTCTCCTCATATGTCATACTATCTTCTATTTCTTCTCCTTCACACTTACAAGAATCGACTAAATGTAATGCTAGATCACATAAAGAAGTTTATATATTCATATATTGATTAGGGAGACTGGGTGGAGTGTCACAAATAGCAGAAGATAGCTCCATGGAATATATTGAGAATATTGAACTTGTTGGACTTTGGACAGTTGTTAGCAGCATTATGTCATCCTGTACGTCATACAATGTTTTATGATTCTGCCAAAAATCTTAATATATTTGTGTCAAGTACTGTTATAAAAAGGACTAACGGTAAACCATTTCTACAATTAGAAACTCTCACCTGTCTCCTCCAGCCTTGATAACACACGGATCTGTCAAATTCTCGCCAACACCTTAAGACAAAGGTTAACAGTTATAATTTGTCCCAGCATGGTTATTGCTTTATAATGTTTTGTTCATTTGCATACCATGTCTAATCTTCTCTGTATTTTATCTTTGTTAATAATTTGAAGAGCCTCAAGTGAAAAGTGTCAAGCCTTGCAATTCTTTGTTATTTTAAATTATTCCCGTTCACGTTATATGCAGGAAATAGTGCAGTAAATCTAACATACAATGTAACACTGAATGATATTACTGTGGAGTACTGGACTCCAAAGCAGGTTGGAAAATTGCACTACAAATATGGTGCCCAAATATGACAGCCCATATGTAATAAAAGCGACATATATGTAGGGAATCCACACAATATTCAATACTATAATGTTAATCTATATTTATTTATTATTTATTACTGGTATTTATAAAACGCCAAAAATAAAGGTCTTACATGACTTTGATGGTCCGGGCTGTTTCCCGAATAGGTCTGCCTGTCTATTAAGATAAAGATGACATAAGTGCGTTGGTTTAAAACTTATCGTTCAAAGTTGGTGAACAGATGTTAGTAAAAGATATATCGGGTCCACAAGCCCCGGCCCGAGGGAACACTTTCCTCCACCTTTGCGTCTCTCCAGTAAGTCATCTTTATCTCAATAGACCGGCAGACCTACTCGGGAAACGGCCCGGACCATCAAAGTCAAGTCGGACCTTCATTTTGGATCTTTGTTTTAGGTTTTTGTCTTTTGGTCTTTTTTTCTTCCGGTTCTTCTTTCCCTTTTTAGGGAGTCAAAAGTGCGCACACTTGGGACTGGAAGCATTAGTGTTAATGCCCTTTCCTTTTCTCCCCCGCCCCATTCCCTGCCTTCCCCCTCCACCTTTTTTTAGCTTTCACTATATATATATATATCTATATATATATATCTTTTATTGCAAGCTTTTACATTATTATTATTCTTAAGTCTGATGTTATTTGAATAAAAGTATTGTATAGTGTATACATTTTCTATATAATGTTTGTGTTTTTTCTTTTCTGCGCTCTTTTATACTTTGCAATAATGTAATATTATATAGTGCAGTAAATCTAACATACAATGTAACACTGTGCGTTAAACAGTGCAGTAAATCTAACATTCAATGTAACACTGTGCGTTAAATAGTGCAGTAAATCTAACATTCAATGTAACACTGTGCGTTAAATAGTGCAGTAAATCTAACATTCAATGTAACACTGTGCGTAGTGCAGTAAATCTAACATACAATGTAACACTGTGCGTTAAACAGTGCAGTAAATCTAACATTCAATGTAACACTGTGCGTTAAATAGTGCAGTAAATCTAACATTCAATGTAACACTGTGCGTAGTGCAGTAAATCTAACATACAATGTAACACTGTGCGTTAAACAGTGCAGTAAATCTAACATACAATGTAACACTCTGCGTTAAATAGTGCAGTAAATCTAACATACAATGTAACACTGTGCGTTAAACAGTGCAGTAAATCTAACATACAATGTAACACTGTGCATTAAACAGTGCAGTAAATCTAACATACAATGTAACACTGTGCGTTAAATAGTGCAGTAAATATAACATACAATGTAACACTGTGCGTTAAATAGTGCAGTAAATCTAACATTCAATGTAACACTGTGCATTAAACAGTGCAGTAAATCTAACATACAAATATAACATACAAACCTGGACAAACAAAAATGAGAGATGATGCTGGCCCTCCTTGAAAACACTAAAGGCAATATAACTAGACTAAAGGCACCCGAATGAAGATTTAATATATTGCAATTGTGCTAAAAATATACAGTATTTACATAAATGCATAAGATATGGAATTAGTTTTCCATAAAAGTCTACATCAAATATGTTATGTAAAAATAGAATAGAAAGTCAATATGTTTGCCTGGATAAAGGTCATGCAAACTAGTCCACCTGCTATATGTATATATATACATGGACATAATCTAAAGGTGATAGCATGGTATGTAAAGGTAGAAGGAATTCAAGAATCCAGTCATATGTTACAGAGTCCAATCCAAAGAAAGAATAGCTGAATCAATAACAAAGAAAAAATACCTTACATGTTGGGAAAGGAGAGAAAGCAGGAAGCCAGAGATGGAACACTGACAATTGTATAAGGAAATATTGATATATGTTTAAAGGGAAACTCCAGTGCCAGGAAAGCAATCCGTTTTCCTGGCACTGCAGGTCCCCTCTCCCTCCCAACCCCCAATCCTCTGTTGCTGAAGGGTTGAAAACCCCTTCAGTTACTTACCAGAGGCAGCGACGATGTCCCACGTCGCTGCTTCTTCCTCTGCCGCCGCTCCTCCTAGTGATTGCATCGGCCGGTGGACGAGACTGATCCCGCCCACCGGCCTGGGAAGACCTAATGCGCATGTGCGGCAATGCCGCGCATGCGCATTAGCGCTCCACATAGGAAAGCATTTCAATGCATTTCAATGCTTTCCTATGGAGAATTGAGCGACGCTGGAGGTCCTCACACAGCGTGAGGATGTCCAGCGACGCTCTAGCACAGGTTTCCTGTGCTATGATCCAGGAAGTGCCCTCTAGTGACTATCCAGTAGACAGCCACTAGAGGTGGAGTTAACCCTGCAAGGTAATTATTACAGTTTATAAAAAACTGAAATAATTACAGTTGCAGGGTTAAGGGTAGTGGGTGGTCTGGGTGCCTGGAGTGTCCCTTTAATTCTTATATCGTACAGCTTAGAGAAGGATCCTGATTGTTAAAGTAGATGATATTGGACTCAAGAAGTGGTGGTAGGTGTAATACTGACTCTAAAATGTTTGGAAGCAGGGATTTATGAGACTTCAAATTAAAAAGCAAAATTATATTTCTGTATTATTCAAAATTAAAACTATTAAACCTATTAAAGTCAGCTACCATTTTAAAAATACTTACCTAGACCCTGATGTCAGCTCCTTGCATCAATGAAAGTAATGGTTTAATTAGGTGTTCCTCTAGAAATGCCTCATACACTGGTCAGTGAGTCAGTCCTCCGGAAATATGGAGGAACCGGTTCAAAACCAAACCTTGTCCCCCACCATAGAGGGACTTGCTGACATATTGCAATAGTAATCTGATTTAACATTTTGCTACAGAATCCAAATATTAGGACTAATTGGTAGCTTGTAATAGTTACTTTTAACATATAACAGAAGACAGTCCATCAGTCACTTGCAATTTGTAACAGTTACTATTGGAACATCACATTGAAAAATTCAGCTATGATGATTGACTTATTTATGTGGCTTTTTCCTACCTTTAATTCTCTCTGGCAGTTTATAGTTTGCCTTTGACAACTTACAGTAGAATCCCAACAAATGAACTCATTGCGGTTTGTGGCTGGTTTCTACCTTTACCTAACGGCCAGACTAACGTAGGGGCTATTTGAGGGGAAGCTCCAGTCCTATGTTTTGTAATAATCCCAAGTTGTTGCATTTCTGTTTTGTGATCAGCCCCAACCTGAAATGCTGGGTGCCATATTTACTTGTGTGTGGCCTATAAGGCACAAATATCTTCTTTTGCCTGGCTGAGCATCATAGGAAACACCGTCCATAAAACCTAAAGTGCGAAATATAGCTCTGGCACTGGGTATAATAAACTGTATCTGATCTGTGCCCTGATGCACCAAAATGTGCCCTAGGATCATTACATATAAGAGTCGCCAAGCTGATGGTCCATAAGATGGGTTCCCTGTGCCCCATAGGATGAGCACTAACCACTTTTTGCTTTTCCACTGCATTTTTCTGTGGCAGACAATGGCTGCAAAGTCTAATTGCAGGTGGGGTTCATGCGCTTGAGAACAGAAACACAAATTCAAGCTTTATATTTTAGGACTTGTGTGTAGTTTTTAGCTCAATGGCTATGACGTCACTAATCTAGTACTGCTTTAGCATTTTGCAGATCTGAAGAAAAGCTTGCTATAGTTTTCCTCACACCCTGCATTGTCTTTAGATTGTAAGCCCATTTGCCATCTCTCCATGCACTTTGTATAAAGCATTTTGATTGCTATACTTTAGGCTCACAGACAGGGACCTAATTTCCTTCCGTACCAGTTTGTCTAATAAGGTAAAGAACTGTTTTCTCTCCCTATGTTTTGTTAATGCATCCATTGTATACCACTGAGGATGATGATGTCATGCCTGCTTTGGCTTGTCAGGATATTTATATCGGCAGACATTTTGTGCTAAGAAAGAAATTAAAAGTATATATTGCCAGAGTCACTCAGAACAGAGCAGACTCCATTTTGCTATCTTTAGGATAACAAAGACATAGTTTCTTCCTACTTTCTGTAACTAGCCACTTGCTTGAGCTAAAGGAATGCATTATATAAACACAGACACTAGTGACAGAGAAGACTAAGTAATTAATTTTACTTTCTAAATTTTACAAGGTTCCATTGTAAGTAAGGGGTGAAATTGAGTTTAGAACTGTCAATTTTACAAATTACGATCAAAGTAGTTGCCACAAAGACTGAGACAAACGCTTTGAACTGACAGCAAATCTAAGTTATGGTAGTCATTTTAGATAAGCCAAATGACGTCAAAATCGTCATCAAGAAAAGTTAACTCTTTCCTGGATAGGAAGGTTTAGTTAGGCAAGACTGCCCTCTATGGATCAAATACCTAAATTGCGATCCATAGATTGAACATACCTTTCAGTTTCCTATTGGCTTATCAACTAATGACGTACAGAGAGTCTGGCCCTTTAAAAGTTAGGACAAAGGGAAGATAAGGTAGTTGAGAGAGAGAGACAAGTTGGAGTTTGGGGATTCCAATTCGGACATGCAGAAAGATCCAGGACATTCTCTGGGACTAACACTCTACTCTTAAACTCTCTTGGACACTCAACTCTTAAACTCTTTGACACTTAGAATTTTACTCTGACTTTCTAACCAACACCACTTTCTCTATTACTCACGCACCTCCATACAACCAATCAAGTTTCAGGGACTACTTACTCATCTGATGAGAATATCTACATAACTGGTAATTATGCTGGTTTTATTTAATTAATTTAAATTAATTAAAATTTACTAATAGCATGATATATGACTGGATAAACCACGGTCAGATTTCAATATTTAGAAATCTTAGTTAACTAAAGAATATATAGTTATAAACAATCCATTCTGCAGGTGGAATTAAGAATAATTATATATTAATGTGATAGTATAACGTGTTAGCATACCGCTGTTTTTATCCAGGTGTATTGATTTGCTCTAATATAAGATAAGATATTTTTTTAGGCAAATTAAAATTCAACTTTTGTAAAAATCTGGTAGATTATTCTTATTGGATGGTTCCAGGAAATGACTAATGAGTTGGTTCAAATGTTATTTTAATTGAAAATCACAGGAGAATAGGATACTATATGCCTAGGGGGATCTAGCCAGCATTGAAAGGGTTACTCAGTTGATTTAACTGTTAGCCAAGGTTTTATGGCTTTTCGCTGTGAAAAGCTTTACTTTTGTCCATGAAGTACCCTCATAAATCTTAAGTGACAGATGATGCTGTTAGCCATTGGAACGTGTATAGCCATTCCATTGTATTGTATACTTATGTTATACTAAATACTCACTGATTATTATCATGCATGCTGCCTAATATTATTTGTTAATTAATTTGTTACAATAAATTAAATCTATTTTTATAACACATTGTGATCTTAATTGTATGGCGTACTTTTCACTTACATGATAAACGATCTCTAAGATCTAAGAGAATTGAAATAGTGGGCAATTCTCCACTGTTTAATATTATCACCCCATAAATATCCCCACAGGCTATGCTGAGAAACTATATAATTGAAGAGTCAGGCTACATGTAATGAGAAGCTCTAATGAAAAGCTCTAATGTAATGCTTCAATAAAGCACCTAAAACTAAACATGCACTACAAATACCTTAATTCTATACCAACATTTGTTTTATATTTGTACTATAGTGTTACCCGCTTGCCTTATACTTACTACTTAGTTGGTATTTGTTTCCTTTCGATAGAATGCATTGTCTCATTTTTTTTAACAAAACATGTTTGGGTTTAACTTTTCTTGGTATGAAACATGCATATCATTACCTTGCAAATCTAGGACCAGAAATTCTCCTTTTGTGTACTCATACGTCCAGTGGCTGAATGCTAGCATGGTCTTCTCAAGTATATTTCTCGGAACATTTTCATTCCCAGTATTGTTATTGTATTTCCTAAATTTTCCAGCCATACACTCCTCAATAGTGAACCACTGATTAGCTGAGTGACAGTATAACAGGAACACTTCCAGAATCCTGTCCAATACATAAACAAATTAAATATTTGTAAATCCCCCCAAAATGAAAATAACCAGATATGGACAGAATTTGCTAAAAAGGAAAAAGACATTCCTGGCACTGAATGAATTGTTCATGTCCCAAACAACGTAAAATGTTAAATACCACCAGAACACTATGGAAGTTGCTCAACAATGTGCACACTCTATTCCCACAGAGCATTACACACACAATATTAGAACATGTAAGACACAGGAGAACACCAAATACTTAACAAAAATAAAAACAATCTTTATTGTCAATAATATTATAATAATGTTGTCATATAGCAGCTCATTAAATTACTTAAAACATCAGTAATTATATAACTGACACAAGTTTGTTCAAAACTGAAAACCACACTTACAACCTACAATATAGGCATTAAGAGAGATCATCCATATGAGTTAAACTTTCTCAAAAGCAAGGGGTCCTCCCTTGAGAAAGGTTGTTTGCTGAAACGTGGGTAGGTATTTTCCTTTTTTGTTCTCATCTCTATATCATTGGATGCTGGTATTGCACTCATTAGGTATGTATATGTTCATGCTTTAATGCTATTAAGCCTTATATCTGAGTAACCTTAGCTTATATCAATGTTCTCTTTTAATGCCTATATTGTAGGTTGTAAGTGTGTTTGTTTTCAATTTTGTTCAACCGTATGTCAGTTGAATGAATACTGATGTGGTCATTTGATGAGCTTCTATATGACAACATTATCTCTGAGAGTAATTTCTTATATTGAGAAAAATCTTTTCATTTTTATTAAGTATTTGATGTTCTCCTATGTCTTACATGTTCTAATATCATGTTACAAACAATACCATCATAGGTACAGGAAAGGATTTGATATAGAAAGAAACCATTCAAATAAAACCCTCAACAACATTGATCAGATGTTTTGTTACCATAAGGCACTGGTTAAAATTACCCAAAATCTTGTGGGGGAAAATATTAATCGATATTAATCGCACATATCATCCAACACAAGTCAATGCTGAGTGATGATATGGATAGCCTTGGGGGGATGAAATGGATAACTTGTGGTGGATGACATGGATTACACATGGAAGCTTGATCATTCCAGTTAGAAGTAAACATTGCTAATTACATTTCTTAATGAGGACATTGGCAGAGATAGTCTATAATGTTGGACAGCACCTATAATTTATTTGAGTACCAGTGCTAAAACAAAAAAATAATAGACTGACTGACAGCTAAAATAAGTTGGTAATTTTTAGACTTAGGCATTCATTTTTGGAAATCTTGTTTTGGCCCTGACTTTTGGCTAATTGTCCATTTGTCCAAAAGACAAATAAACAAATACAAACTACAATGAATGCGATGAAGACCGAATTGTTTGTTGGATGAAAGTTTGTCTGTGCAATTTGTTCTTTTAATGCATTACAAGGAGGGAGGTTCCAAAGTTGTTCTTGATCAGATCTGAAGTCAAGATAAACTGTATCTACTAGGAATGTCACGTCAAGCATTGTATTAGAACAAACAAGAAACACAACTTACTTTGGAGAATATGGGATAGTTTTGGGCTTCATTTGGTTGAAAGCAAACAGGAGCTTCTGAGCTGCTCGTTGTTGTTGTATTTCCTAAAATGAAAAGACATAAAAAAATCAGAACAAAATCTAAATATAACCACCAGGGCTATGAAAATATGTATTCCACCATTAATGTGTTTAATGGTTAAGGTATCATGCTGGAGGGATGACAGGCATGGCGCACATATGATAAGGCATCCTCTGGACTGCACTGGCTTGTTTTATGTTCCGCGCTGTTTTGAAATTAAGCATGACCTCACACTCCAATTTTTATCAAGGAATTGTATTGTAGGTTTAACAGAACAGAATTTTTGAACACATGGACATTTGTAAAAAAATATACAGATCTACAAACAAGCTCTGGCCTGTATACCATCGTCATCTGTGATGCTGCAGTGCTGTCTTCGTCTAGGTGGAGTTGGGAAGTAACATTCTTCTTGTACACTAAGTATAGAATGTATTTACTATGGTTAAATGTCAAGTACTTACTCTAAGACAGAGTTGTAACACTGTGTCTTCTTTGTATACACCTGACCAAGTATCCACAACCTCCGGAAGGAATGATTTGATGATGTAGAGTTGCCCTCCTTTAAGGATACCATCTTCACACCACGCACATGCTACTTTCAAAGCCCGTCTCAGGCCTCCCCCCATCTCCTCTCTCCCGAGAAACTCAATCTTGGCATAGCAGCCTTGTTGTGACCAGGAAGACATGCTATTGTTCATGATTTCTGGAGAGCTCTCTTCCAGACGATAAACTGTTACCAGTTCTCCTGCAACACATAGACTATTTTAATGACAAGGGTGTGATTTTTTATTTTTTTTTAAGTATGTTACTGGTCAAATCCCCACTGACTCTTGAGTGAACACATTACATTAACAATATTGTATAGCTGGGATTCCCTTGGTAATTAAGGCTGCAAAGATATGGTGAAAACAGTGTTCCAACACCTGCCATACAGAACTGAAATACTATGCCAAGGTATTCAAGTAGCCAGGATTCCTGGTGAAATCCAGTGTCTCTCTTCTTCCACCAACTAAAGCATGGAATCAGGACGTTCACAAAGACCCATATTAAGCAGAACAAGTGTTCTGTCCCCCCTGTCAAGTCCCAGTATGGCCCATAATATTTTAACATATTAAAACGTAGCATAGGGTTTGATATTAAGATGAGGAGGCACACATTGGAACAGTGGATTGGACACTCCTGTTCCTTTATTAAATAATGGTAATGTAGGACTAGGCATTTGGGCAGCTACTGATCTTATGTGAATATTAAAAATGGGTCAGAAGGACTTTTTTCATAATTGCCAATGTTCTAGGCTAGAACAGTACCATAATTTTAGAATAACCAATAGTTTATTTCATTCAGTTACATTTCTTTAATAAATGTCTTTGTGAAATGACAATTACATATCGTATGCTCACCTATTGGTGGTAAAGGTGTAAAGAGAATACTCTGGGAAAGGCGATACAAGTTGTTTCTCTCAATAGCTGCAAGAAAAACACATACAATTGTATCCATTCAATGATCATCAACATTATGCAACAAGAGATATTAAATAGGTTTTCTTACAAGAGAAGTAGAACGAGATGTCCATGGATGGGGTGAAATGAGATTTAAATCCTGAAACAGAGAGAAACAGCAATAAATTATATCTCCGGAGTAAATGCCAAGGAGTGAAGTATATTCAGCTCCTTAAAACGAGAAGGAGATAGAAGAAAAGAGGAGAAAAAATAGAGGAGTTAAAGGGGGAGGTTTAAGAAGAGGGGGCAGCATCAACCAATGTCTAACAGTAAGGCCTGCGGGCAAATATCTAACATTTTGTAACTGCTAGAGAAAGTGAGCATGCCTCACACCCATGATGTCACTCTTCGCTCGAATCTCCTGATTTGCTCATGATGTAGCATGATCCATGTTGGATTTTTCCTTCAGTTCAGAGTTTTAAATTTGTTCACGTGTTCTCTGAATAAATTTGGTTTGGTCTGCTGTTTTGATTTAATTGTATGCCATCTTCCTGTTTCTGTGCAGCATTCTATAATCAAGACAATCTTGACTTTTAAAGCCCATTTGGTAGGTCTCCTTTATTTTACTACTGGCATTTATAATGTGCCAACATATTCTGTAGTGCTGTACAATTAGGGGAGAACGTAGAATATACACAGACCAATACAAAAGAAAAAAACCTGCCCTTGAACTGAGATCTAGTCACTGAAGGCCTTTTATACAAAGTGTTTAGTTAGATTTCCCATGAGCTTACAATCTAGAGGATATAATGGGGATTTCAGACAAGGAGTAGCAGGCGTAATTCGGAAGTAAAAAAAAAAGGAAGTTAATGGAGAGTTGCAGCTACTCATAAAATGTAAAGGAAATGATGAGGTAATTAAGTAAGATCTCAAACAGTTAGAGGATCATGCTATAAATTTAGTGGGAACCTGGGTGGGTGAATGGGTGGGAAGTACTTAGAGAAATGGAGATATTTGGTACTGCTTCAGCTCCTTCAGTTACTGTTATCATGACCTTACACCACATGTAGATAGTGAATGTGGAGTTACCATAGCTCAATGAGTGGATTCCAAACAAGAGTTTAGTGCGAACCTGGTGGGCCTACTAAGTAATTTATGCTTCCAATGTTTATGATTGGAGTTTAAGTTTGGTGGGCCACGAGGGGCTATGGAACAAGGAATTATGGCGAATTGAAAAAGGAATTGTGTATCTTGCCAAAAATAGGAAAAATACCAGAGTAGGACATTTTTTTCAATTGCTGCTATTATAGCTTAAAACCTGCAACACCTCTTTTAGTTATCCACAATTCCCAGTTTAGTGAATACATTCCAATAGTATGGTTAGTGATACCATGTGACCTATAGCAAAGTTTTAATTTTAATATTGTAGAGTGCTGATGAATAAGTTAGTTCTTTAAAATAATTTCCCTACATGATTGAAAGAAGAAACACGGACTTGTATATTAGCTAGTGGCTGAAACATGGCTTTTCTAGAGCTAAAAGGAGGCTGAGAAGCATTACGTGTATAAATATCAGATATAATGCTTCCAAACACACATCCATCCAATTATTTATAACAGGGCACAAGGAAACTCGATACATTTTAAAATACCAATGCAGATGTTTCATTATGAGTATATATAGGCAAAATAAGAAAGAAAATTGAAAGAAAACCAATTAAAAAGAAATTAGTACAATCACATTGTCACATATTTGACAGGTTTTATCTTACTATTCAGGAATTCTTTCTCCAGAGGCCTGGAATTAAAATAGAATAAGTAAATCAGGAGTGTTTAAAACATTTTATATCAAAGAAATCGTATTATATAGAAATATTATCAGAGGTTGTATTTTCTCTCCAGTGTGAATTGTTTAACAATTAAAAATTGTCTCTGTCACTTTTGGAGGTTGTGAAAGAAGCCTCCATGTCAGGACTTTTGGAAAGGCTTGAAGGCCAGCCTCTTGCCCACAAACTATGAAACTGGTCACAGGAACCCATGAAAGCATGTGACAGCAGCAATCAATGTACAAACTATACATTCTCGTTCTTCAACATTCTATATAGTTGTATTTTAAATGTTTTTCTGCTTTTCACCACATGCTTAAGGATTAGTCCCCACTGGCTATTCCTTGTCAAAAAAAAAAGAATGTTATGTAAGTTTCTTTTGGAACTGTGTGTCCTGTGTGTATTAGTTCAGGGATCCCAATAGCAAAGTCTTCAGACCTGTTGGCTGGCTGCTTGATCCCTGTATCCCGAGACAAGTCAAAAAGATCCAGGCCTAAGAGCCGCAAATGCCTTTGTAAAGGCAGGAACTAATCACATTACAGGCAGAGGTGTGAATACCTGCCTGAGAAAGAAGCTGAAGATAAAAAGGCAGAGGGGATGATATCTGCCTGGAAGAAGAGAGCTGCAGCCTGGTCGGGTGGAGGAGTTGCAGAGAGACCACAGTCAAGCTTCGGTGACTGGGGCTGAATCGTTACAGGGTCCCCTGTGTCAGCAAAGAAGATAACCTGGCGAAGGTACTCGGTCAGAGTACAGGAGCCCCGTTACAGGGGTCTTTACACTGTTTACAAGCACCCTGGAAGGTGACATTCCCATTTTGTGTGTGACAGTCCACAGCTGAATCTAAAGTTAGTTAATCTGGAGATATCCCTCCCAAGCATAGCCAACTTTCTTCTTTTACTATTCAGAGATTCATCTGCCTGGAGCCGTTATCACTGCTGTACCCTTGTGTAACAGAGGTCTTTGGATAATGCCGCAAGCCCTTGGGATCTCGCACAATGCATGAAATGATTATGGGAACTGACAAAAGTTGCCAATTTTTGTCAACCTGGACTTTGCCCATAATATATTGTTTGGTTGCGTTGGAATTTCAATTTTATTTCATGAAATACGCATAAGGTGACCAGAGGTGACAGAACTGCTTTTTACTGTACTATCATTTCTATCCGTAAGTTTATTTGACCTTTTTATCAAGAATAGTGACATGCATCACAAAGCTTTAGCTTCTTCTGTCTTATGTTTTCAACACCCACTCCAGGCAGAAAACGGATCTAACCAGTGTCCTGTCTGTTCTAAATGCAAGCATTTCGTAGACAATCAGGTGATTGTGATTCAACTAATCAGTATTGACTTATAAAACATAGAATACAGTGTAAGGTAAAGATATACCTTTACACAGCTAGAAAATTATAAATAACAGACATTACATTGCAAATAGCGCACAGGATCTCATGTAGAAACTCACAATTTACTGCAACTTGAAGAATATCTGCTGGAATAGGACTCCTATGATAAAGAAAAAAAATATGCAGTAATTGAATGCAGGGAGTTCCTTTCAAAAATTCATAAAAAAAAGAAAAATCTGAGGGGGCAGCCTTTCATAATTATCCCAGACCTACTTAGGGTAGCATACATTAAATCAGGTTGTTTTCTACGGGAAATTTATCACTAAGAAGTCTATTTACAGGGAGTGCAGAATTATTAGGCAAATGAGTATTTTGACCACATCATCCTCTTTATGCATGTTGTCTTACTCCAAGCTGTATAGGCTCGAAAGCCTACTACCAATTAAGCATATTAGGTGATGTGCATCTCTGTAATGAGAAGGGGTGTGGTCTAATGACATCAGCACCCTATATCAGGTGTGCATAATTATTAGGCAACTTCCTTTCCTTTGGCAAAATGGGTCAAAGAAGGACTTGACAGGCTCAGAAAAGTCAAAAATAGTGAGATATCTTGCAGAGGGATGCAGCACTCTTAAAATTGCAAAGCTTCTGAAGCGTGATCATCGAACAATCAAGCATTTCATTCAAAATAGTCAACAGGGTCGCAAGAAGCGTGTGGAAAAACCAAAGCGCAAAATAACTGCCCATGAACTGAGAAAAGTCAAGCGTGCAGCTGCCGCGATGCCACTTGCCACCAGTTTGGCCATATTTCAGAGCTGCAACATCACTGGAGTGCCCAAAAGTACAAGGTGTGCAATACTCAGAGACATGGCCAAGGTAAGAAAGGCTGAAAGACGACCACCACTGAACAAGACACACAAGCTGAAACGTCAAGACTGGGCCAGAAATATCTCAAGACTGATTTTTCTAAGGTTTTATGGACTGATGAAATGAGAGTGAGTCTTGATGGGCCAGATGGATGGGCCCGTGGCTGGATTGGTAAAGGGCAGAGAGCTCCAGTCCGACTCAGACGCCAGCAAGGTGGAGGTGGAGTACTGGTTGGGCTGGTATCATCAAAGATGAGCTTGTGGGGCCTTTTCGGGTTGAGGATGGAGTCAAGCTCAACTCCCAGTCCTACTGCCAGTTCCTGGAAGACACCTTCTTCAAGCAGTGGTACAGGAAAAAGTCTGCATCCTTCAAGAAAAACATGATTTTCATGCAGGACAATGCTCCATCACACGCGTCCAAGTACTCCACAGCGTGGCTGGCAAGAAAGGGTATAAAGAAGAAAATCTAATGACATGGCCTCCTTGTTCACCTGATCTGAACCCCATTGAGAACCTGTGGTCCATCATCAAATGTGAGATTTACAAGGAGGGAAAACAGTACACCTCTCTGAACAGTGTCTGGGAGGCTGTGGTTGCTGCTGCACATAATGTTGATGGTGAACAGATCAAAACACTGACAGAATCCATGGATGGCAGGCTTTTGAGTGTCCTTGCAAAGAAAGGTGGCTATATTGGTCACTGATTTGTTTTTGTTTTGTTTTTGAATGTCAGAAATGCATATTTGTGAATGTTGAGATGTTATATTGGTTTCACTGGTAATAATAAATAATTAAAATGGGTATATATTTGTTTTTTGTTAAGTTGCCTAATAATTATGCACAGTAATAGTCACCTGCACACACAGATATCCCCCTAACATAGCTAAAACTAAAACAAACTAAAAACTACTTCCAAAAATATTCAGCTTTGATATTAATGAGTTTTTTGGGTTCATTGAGAACATGGTTGTTGTTTAATAATAAAATTAATCCTCAAAAATACAACTTGCCTAATAATTCTGCACTCCCTGTATATAATAGAATAACTAACTCCTTTAACATGTTTTGTATTTCTTGAATTTCTTACATTTTCATAAACAGTGTATCATATGATCTTAAAAGCGGCACCAGATTTTCTGGGGGGATTCATCTCTACAACGCACCCCCTGATCAATGAGTGTTTCTAAGATCTCATGCCCATGGTAATTTGAAGAGACAAGAAAACAAATTGTTGTCTAAATGGCAAGTTGTCATGCAAAAGTCCATTCCTGTCCATTTACCTGCTGAAGAAGTCTCTCCTCACTATGCTAAATATAAGAGACAACACTTATAATATTATGTACAGGGAGTGCAGAATTATTAGGCAAGTTGTATTTTTGAGGATTAATTTTATTATTGAACAACAACCATGTTCTCAATGAACCCAAAAAACTCATTAATATCAAAGCTGAATATTTTTGGAAGTAGTTTTTAGTTTGTTTTAGTTTTAGCTATGTTAGGGGGATATCTGTGTGTGCAGGTGACTATTACTGTGCATAATTATTAGGCAACTTAACAAAAAACAAATATATACCCATTTCAATTATTTATTATTACCAGTGAAACCAATATAACATCTCAACATTCACAAATATACATTTCTGACATTCAAAAACAAAACAAAAACAAATCAGTGACCAATATAGCCACCTTTCTTTGCAAGGACACTCAAAAGCCTGCCATCCATGGATTCTGTCAGTGTTTTGATCTGTTCACCATCAACATTGCGTGCAGCAGCAACCACAGCCTCCCAGACACTGTTCAGAGAGGTGTACTGTTTTCCCTCCTTGTAAATCTCACATTTGATGATGGACCACAGGTTCTCAATGGGGTTCAGATCAGGTGAACAAGGAGGCCATGTCATTAGATTTTCTTCTTTTATACCCTTTCTTGCCAGCCACGCTGTGGAGTACTTGGACGCGTGTGATGGAGCATTGTCCTGCATGAAAATCATGTTTTTCTTGAAGGATGCAGACTTCTTCCTGTACCACTGCTTGAAGAAGGTGTCTTCCAGGAACTGGCAGTAGGACTGGGAGTTGAGCTTGACTCCATCCTCAACCCGAAAAGGCCCCACAAGCTCATCTTTGATGATACCAGCCCAAACCAGTACTCCACCTCCACCTTGCTGGCGTCTGAGTCGGACTGGAGCTCTCTGCCCTTTACCAATCCAGCCACGGGCCCATCCATCTGGCCCATCAAGACTCACTCTCATTTCATCAGTCCATAAAACCTTAGAAAAATCAGTCTTGAGATATTTCTTGGCCCAGTCTTGACGTTTCAGCTTGTGTGTCTTGTTCAGTGGTGGTCGTCTTTCAGCCTTTCTTACCTTGGCCATGTCTCTGAGTATTGCACACCTTGTGCTTTTGGGCACTCCAGTGATGTTGCAGCTCTGAAATATGGCCAAACTGGTGTCAAGTGGCATCGTGGCAGCTGCACGCTTGACTTTTCTCAGTTCATGGGCAGTTATTTTGCGCTTTGGTTTTTCCACACGCTTCTTGCGACCCTGTTGACTATTTTGAATGAAACACTTGATTGTTCGATGATCACGCTTCAGAAGCTTTGCAATTTTAAGAGTGCTGCATCCCTCTGCAAGATATCTCACTATTTTTGACTTTTCTGAGCCTGTCAAGTCCTTCTTTTGACCCATTTTGCCAAAGGAAAGGAAGTTGCCTAATAATTATGCACACCTGATATAGGGTGTTGATGTCATTAGACCACACCCCTTCTCATTACAGAGATGCACATCACCTAATATGCTTAATTGGTAGTAGGCTTTCGAGCCTATACAGCTTGGAGTAAGACAACAAGCATAAAGAGGATGATGTCAAAATACTAATTTGCCTAATAATTCTGCACTCCCTGTATATGGATATATTGTAAGCAGTAGTATTTAATAATCTATGGGAACCTTACATTTCCTATAATGGAGGGACATAAAGTTTCAGGTTTATTCCTGGGTGTAATAGCAGATCCCACGACTATTACTTTTTTCGTTTTCATTTAACTTTTTTTTTTTCTGCTCCAGGGTTAGCTGGATGCTGTTTGCCATGTATAATACTCGGCATTGTTTTTTGAATTTGTCTGCATTATTCCGGTCCATGTTAAACAGAGAACAGTAAAAAAAGTTTAGACATGAATTGACACAAACCTTTAATAAAGCTGCCCTTGAGTCCGACTGCTGTAATTCTTCATAAAATGTTGCTGTTTCGTCAGATTGCCCTGCTCATGATATAGTAAGAAACACAAGGCAATTGTTAGATGGCATTTTGGATGCAGACAGCAGAAGTGTAACAGAGACACAGTAAATGAAATATTCACAGTATCTGTACTAAATCCATAGCTAGATATTTTATTATGTCCTGTAAAGATTTAAAATATGTAGTACTGGGTTCATGATGTTACTGCTTATGAATAATGTAATTAAAAACATTTATATAATGCAGCTAAGGTGCTGGTCCATGCCACTGTCCTCTCTCGCCTTGACTACTGCAATCCGCTTCTTAGTGGTCTTACATGCTCCCAATTTGCCCCACTGCAGGCTATAATAAATCCAGCAGCGAGGCTCATCTTCCTGTCCGCCCGCACCTCCCACGCGTCACCCCTCTCTCAGTACCTGCATTGGCTTCCCGTAAGATATAAGGCTCTATATAAAATTCTGGTTCTTGGTTTCAAATCTCTACATAATGCTGCTCCCACCTGTCTATCCTCCCTAATACACAAGTATGTCCCGTCTTGGCCCCTACGCTCTGCCGAAGACCTGCGTCTATCCTCTGTTCGTACTCCCACCTCTGATGCTCGCATTCAAGACTTCTCTAGGGCTGCACCTCTTCTGTGGAACGCCCTTCCCTTTTCCGTTAGACGCTCACCCAGTCTCCACTCCTTCAAAGAAATCATTAAAAACTCAAGTTTTTACAAACGTATATCAATTAAACTGTTAATGGCTCCACAAAAAACCCCACACTAAGTCTTCATTGAATACTATTCTACCAATCTACTTCCCTAATACTTCTCTTAGCTTTTGTGTCACTATACCCCACTCCCTCTAGCATGTAAGCTCATTGAGCAGGGCCCTCAATCCCTCAAAACCGCTTCCATTCAACTTGACAGGAGAAAATTTAAAATGAATCATTATAATCGGCAGAAGGAATTACACAAGTCTCGTAGTCTATCCACCCAAGGATCGATTTATTAGGTACTCTTACTCAGGGACGGACTGGCCACTCTGGCCCTTCAGTCATAGTCTGAGGGGCAATGGCAGTCAGGGGCCTGCTTACAGAGGAATGTTTGGGCCAGTTGGGATATCAGCAGATCTCCGAAACTATCCCTGCATCATGGGTGGAACTTCCACCAGTGCTGTGGGGCCCACACACTTTGGGGGCCCATTCGGTGGCCCATATACTTAAGGCCACTCAGTGGGTATTGCTGAACAGGGACCCTGTCAGGCGCTGCGCTCCTTTAAGAGCGCGACAGACGATCACTTCCTCATAGCTTTAAACAGAAAGCGCGGGAGGGAGAATGTGGCGTCACACACAGGTAGGTATTTACTGAACATTTTTTTGTGGAAATCTGACATGATCACAAATTGTAGACTAAATTAACCAAACGGAAAAAATCTGCAACTCAGGTATTTTACCAGCTCAGCTATTTTGGCCTAAAAGTCTCCTTTTTAATCCTCTAATATTTATTACTAAGAAGCTGTAGTGTTTATTCACTAAAGAGTAAGATGAATAGCAAAATGTAGGCTAATATAGCCATTTTGTAACTATAGTAGTGAATGTTTTAAAATGAGCCGTTTGGGTTTCAATTTATTGTAATGCACTCATTATTAAATAAACAATGTGCGTCTGTGTATGTATTGGACTTCAAGGGTGCCCAGATTGCTATCAGTCCGTCCCTACGAATACTTGCTAATGTGAATAGCCTAATAGCTAATGTGACTGGGTGTGATGCATATTTAATCATGCAGATAAGATCAAGAGGTTTATTTTTTATGTATGAGAAATATAACAGTGACTTTGACCATAGTCTGAGATGTAGTGTTGTGCATGCTTGTTTGGCCGGATGGCACTGGGTTGCTGTGCAGGCATGATGTCATCAGCTGGGCGGAGCTTGCAGGTACATTTGAAAAAGGGCAGTTGACAGTTATCTTTTGGACAGTTGGAGTCAGTTAGTAAAAGTACCAGTTGCATACAGACATGGCCTGGCACATTTATTACGGTTTAAGGAAGACATAACATGATTACTGCTCATAAACATGACAGAAGTCATGACAATCTTTAGGGTTGAGAGAGAATAATGTGATTAACAAAAATATTCTTATAGCAGCAGTTATGTAATGGTAAAAGCAACCTGTTAGAGAGAGAACTTGAGGGAGAAATGCCAAATTCATCTAAGCTGCATTCGCAATGTTGACAAATGTTGATTACGAACATACATATGTTTGTATTTGCTTTTGTATCACACAGCCATGTTACAGTGCTGCCGCCAATCCCATGTGTTCCCTTTTAAGAATTAATAAGTAAGTAGGGGTTTAGAAAAATACCCCTCTCTGTCTCATTAGAGATTTTACCGTATAGCTGAAGACTACAAGGTGAATTGTTAGTGTAGGTCAAAATTTTGGCTTGACAAGGTGGGTGAGCGTACACCTAAATGGCCACTGGAGTGATACTAAAACACCTCCAGTAATTTAAATGTGCATAGAGATTTGGGATAGCACGCACGTAACCTTTTTCTTTGTTTTTTATGGTAACGCAGAAAGATGACAAAGCTCACACCATCTTCAGCTGGTCCCATGACTGGAGTAGTTTACTCACATGGATTTGCAGAGGCTCCAATTTGGCAGACTTTTGAAAAAGATAGATTGAGAGGCTAGTGGCATAAATGTGTGATTAAATAATTCGTAGGAAGTATAAAACAGATGGACAAAAATCATTAAAGAATACTTTTAGCACCTTATTGAATCCCTGTCATGAAGAATTCTGGCTGTACTACAAATGGGTACTACATGTACCCAATAAAGCGGACAATATAAATATATTCGGGACCAGTACAAACCATTATCTGGAAATCTATTCATAAACAGGACTATACATAGGACACGTGCTCACACATTTAGGCTGGAAGAAAGGAGATTTCATTTAAGGCAAAGAAAAGTGTTTTTTTTTTACGGTGAGAGTAATAAGGATATGGAATTCTCTGCCTGAAGAGGTGGTTTTATCAGAATCCATAAAGATGTTTAAAGTGAAATTGGATAAATACTTTCAAAAACATAACATAGAGGGATATCATTTCTAATTAGTGGGGTAATAGCTACTTGATCCAAGGAGACATCTGACTGCTATTTTGGGGTCAAGAAGGAATTTTTTCCTAGTTTGTTGCAAAATTGGAGGCACTACAGACTAGGTTTTTTTGCCTTCTTTTGGATCAACAGCAAAAACATATGTGAGGAAGGCTGAACTTGATGGACGCAAGTCTCTTTTCAGCTATGTAACAATGACTGGAGCTTTGAATTTGCAAGACACCTAGAATAAAGTCAATATTGTCACCACCAATTAACAAAAAGATGACTTTCTTGTTTAAAAGGACACTCTAGTCATACATTGTGCACCAAAGCAACCATGTACACATTAATGCTGTTTTACTTCACATTCATATCTCATTAGTTTTGCTGAAAAGGCAAAAGGTTTTGCAGCTTTCTGCAGTGTAATATTTTTCCCAGCTTATTAAATATATTAGATATTTTCTACATACATACCCAGCTCATCCAATGAGAGATCGGTGTGAACTGCACAGCTGACACAGCTCCACACCGAAGCCAATCGCTGCCCTCTTAATATTTATCCCCTTTCCTCTAAGCACGGCTTTTAACAAATACTACATGGTTTATAAGAGAACAGTGATTGGTTGCGGGAAACAAATCAAATCAGCAACTCAGCTCTCACTGATATTTATTGGTTGGACTACACTTCTTACTTTACAATGAGGAAAATATTTTCTGAAAAGGGAAGTCATGGCCAAGAGTTATAATGAAAAGCATTTTTAAAGCAAAACTAAAGAGATTTTAACAGTGAGAAATTCAAAGCATGAATATGAATCAAAAAGCTATTAAAACTTTTCAAATGCACTTAATTTATGTTGGTGTCCAGCATGTTACTTTATGTCCAAAATATAGACAAGAGAACTATTGATCAGATAGAAGTATAGGACATATTACAACTCACATTGATTTGTTGAAGCAGAGTGATAGCTTGATCTACGATCATCCAGTTTTTCACAGTTTTTTACACTCTCTTCATCTTCAAGACATTCCTGAAAATATTAAGTACAAAATGTGATATTGTGCAGTGAAAAGGAAAATATTTTTAATAAACCCCAAACTCACTTTTTGTCTGCTCCATTCCCAGCTTTCACTTTGTATCATTACTATGCAAGACTACCCCTATGTGACGGGAGCAATCTCGCCACATTGCATTGGAGAGGCCTGGTTGCTCACCTGTTGCCTCATGATAAAACGCTTGATTTTCCCCTGCGGAGACACGAAAGCCGGGTCATTCGGTGCTGGCCCTGTTTGAGCGGTGATACCCCAGATAGCTATGCCATGGAGCCCATTCGTATAATGAGAGACTATGGGAAAGACTTTGGCTCCATGGCAATTGAACTGTATGTGTGTGCTCTGAGCGCCATTCTGTAATAATGTGCGCTCAGATCTGAGCTATCTGGGGATATGTTGAATGTACCTGTTTTGTGCAATGGCTGCACAGTTATATGTTTTTATGTGTTTTATTGTCTTTTGCTGCCATGTGTTCAATGGAGTTTTGCCTCTGTCCTTGGAGATAATTGGATTACTTCCCAATTATCTCCAGGATAGAAGACTCTGTGGAACTGGTTTTGGGCAGAAAAGCCATGCTTCCTTTGGTCACAAAGGACTACGATCTATCTTTTGAACCACTGGACCAATATGGATGATTTTGACATATGTTTGTATTTGGAGTATGCTGATTCTGAAAATGTAAGTTTTATGTGAATGCATACTTTTCAAGTTATGAATAATGTGGAAAAATTGTATTTCTCTGCTTGTGATAATTACATTACCCATTGTGTAAGGTAATTGTATCACAGGCAGAGGGCAGACTTTTATGTGGGAGTGTCTGAGTGTATTGTATGTGTTTATTGGTTGTGTTCCAAAACCCTGTGGGTGGTACTAATGTGTATATAAGAACAATAAACCCACAGCTCTGTCTGTTCCTGCTTGACCCTCAAAACGGAGCCTTGTCTCATTCTCGGGGGGATTTATTGTGTGCTGTTCCAGTTCGACTGCTAGGAGTGTAAACCTTTCGTATGGTTTTTCCTATTCGGCTGTTTACAGCATTCGTATGGTTCCGGTTCGGCTGTTTACAGCATTCATATGCTTCTCCGGTTTGGTGGATTGGTGTCTACAGTAGCTGTGCCTGTATCTCTGGAAGGGGAAGATCTACTAAACGGCTGTTAACCCCTTTTATGCCTGGGGATACCTTTACACCCTACGTCCCCTCATACATTGTACTGGAACTCAAAAGTACAGTGTTGTAGAATGGGAAGGAGTTTGAATAAAATGCTACAACATGCTGTGCTGCCTGATACAACAGAATCCGGCAACTAGATTTACTGTATATGGGCACAATACCCAGAGTGGCTATAATAACAATTGGCATTCCCAAAAATGCATGCAGTTTCTTTACAAACTATCCGTAAAAGCAGGATGTTTGTCTATTCATTTTTGTTTTATCTCATCTATGGTATTAATGAAAATAAATGTGCTTATATTATTTTAGGAACTGTCTCTTAAATATTGCACTGTATGGGATACACTTTAACCTCTAATATTGGTTAGCCCTCAATATTTCTGAAAGGATAAATGAATAAATTAGATTAATAGTATGCAAATTTGCACCATTTTCATTCTTAGACATCTTTGAACAGTTATGTACACACAAAATAACTGTGGGGGGAGGAGGGGGTAGGGGAAAATTTAATATAAGCATCCCATGTCTCACATAAACATAAATGTGGGAGACGATAGAGCACATTTGTGCTACTAGATTATTTACCTTGGCAGGGTGCTTTAAGCATCTCCTTTTTGTATACCCACACCCAGTCTTCCTAGTATCACCATGCTTTATAAACTGCCAATTCTTTCTAAACACAAATAATTTAATTACCCTCCCTTCCACCACCACCCTGTCTCAATTGTGTAACCAAAGGGTCATATTATACAATGCCAAGAGCAGAGTATAATTAAAATATATAAGTACAATGCTTGTTAATTTAGTGTGGAACTACTTATATATTTACAGGAAGGTACTTTTTGAGATTCTGTCGTCCTTCGTTCTAAAGTGGCCAATAATATGTACTTAACATTTTGGTGAAAATGTGATACATCTACAGAGGGCAGAAAAGGGTCTGAACAGCCTAAATTCAAAGTAAGATAAAATAAAAAATTTACCTCCGCTTCTCCAGAATTTGTCTCAAATGACATCTGCTTCCCTGTGTGTGCGTGGTCTCCTCTTCCTAAGTCAATTATAAAAAAATAATCATGAATAAAACTTAAAAAACTAGTGAAAACTGTGCATTTTACACAGATACATTATAGCAGTTTATATATTTTGCACTTACTGGTCCAAAATCTAGAAGCTAACTAAATTAATATTTGTAATATTTAATCACTATAAATGCACACAGCCAAACATTAATAGGCTCCTCAATACCTGTAACAAAATGGCAAAAGAACTAGGAGTAACTAAGAAGGGGTATGGTATAGAAAGTGTAGGAATTAGCATTGTATAGGTATTGTAGGAATTAGCATGGTATAGAAAGTGTAGGACAATCTCTGATTGTGTAATATGAACAACCTATCTATGGTTTATGTGTACATTATTTTTAATATAGGGCAACGATCAAAAGCAAGTGGTAAAATTGGCAACTTGTAACATGCCTTGCTTCCACTGGTCCTCTTTAAAATCTAAGATTTTTCATTTCTTCTGAGATTCTCAGTGCCACTGCATGATAGATACATAGTTTAAGATTGTGGTCTCAACCCATAACCATGGTCTGTCTATCCAAATACATAAATCACATCCTGAAATCCCTGGCCACATGTGTGACTATATACTTTATTCTTTAAATAGAGACTAACATATTGTCAAAATCACTGCATAACCAACTACTCTTCAGCTTAAGACAATAGATGAGGAGATATTTTATCACATTCAAACCCACAACTATTAATATTTTTTTTTTATACCTGTGTTTTTAGATTTCTTCAAAAGTTTCTGAACAACACCAGCAAATCTCTTGCCTCTACCCAAAGGATTTATTTTGTCTTCAACTCTCTCCATCGTATTATCTCTTCTATGTATTTCTTGCATGCTATCGTCTTCGCAAGTAAAGTTGCCAGTAAGTGACTCATGGTGACATTGTGACTTGAGTATGGTAGTGTCATCTGTCTCATCTGTCTGGTCAGCAAGTGGATTTAGAAGATGTTCATTGTTCTTCATACTGTTTTCATAAATATCAATACTGAGGCCAATGTCATCAATAAACCCACGATTAACATATCCACCTTCTTTGCCCATGTCTGCAAGATCTAGACACACACTGTTGCCATGATTCAAGTAGGAAGAAGCATTCTGAGCAGACTTTGTAACATTCACTTCTGATATGTTCCTATTTTTTGCAAGATACTGTAACGATGTCTGTGCTGTTATCACTCCTTTTCGGTACTTTAGTGGCCGTTGTTTCTGACTGTTAAGAACACCATTCTTATCATTATAAAGTGTACCATTCTGAAACTCCAGAGGTGACAACACAACTCTTTGAAACAAAGGACTGTGTTGAGGAGATGTATCAGACATGATGACTTTCCTTTGTGATTTTGTCACACGGGAATTGAAAATTTTTTCAAGACTAGGATGTGAAAGAGAACGCCTCCAAATGTGGTCACTTCTGCTACCCCTCCTGGTGGTTGATTGTCCAAGTCCATCATCAGAAGTTTGTTTTGAACTACTTAAATCTATACTCTGACTCCTGCTGGACTCCAGTGCTTTCTGAGCTGTTAGTGTATTCAGGGCATCAAATGTAAGACCAGAAAGATCTTGCAAGTGTCCAATGTGATTATCCAAACAGCGCAATGAATGTTTAATTAAGCTTAAATGACAGCCAATATCTTTCATCTTAGCACTCATATGTTCAACCCTACGAAAACAAAAGTATCATAATTAGTTTTTTTCTTCAGTATTTTCCCTGATGAAACAATCATAGTATTTCAATGATTTAATGATTATATTGTTTAAATCTAAGTTGAATTTAAAAGTATAGGCTTCACATCCTGGTTGCAATATCTGAATGTTAAAAGCACTCAGACCACCTCATCTTTTCCAGAATGTAAAATATTGCCATAATGTAGGAACGGCAATGTTTTGAATGCAGCATTAAACACAGCATAAGTGCCTGTCTCCCTGACAACCACTAGAGGCTCTTCTCCTGTGAGACTGAGTCAGACTCAGTTCTCAATCAAATTGACTTCCCTATGGAGAAGCATTGGATTGGCTGAGATAAACTACTCATAATAGTTTTATATTTTACAAAAATTGGAATAAACTTAAAAATAACTTGAAAACACAAATAGATCTGTCATTTATATAAATCTATTAATTTTTGTTTAGAGATAATATCATTACAAAGACAAGTTACCCAAAAATGGGAACACATTAAAGGAAAACCATGAAGCCAGGGTCATTTACTATAGAGTGAATTGTCAGGAATTCAAAGTGAATTCAAAGGATTAACATTTTGGGCCAGAAAAGTCAAACCGAAAGAGATTGGCTGTTTTGGCATAACATTTGAAATTCACTTTTAATTCTTGACATTTCACACTTTACAGATTTATTCGCTAAAGTAAGAACTATCGGATTTCAAAGGGAATATCAAATTTTAACCCCTTAAGGACACATAACATGTGTGACATGTCATGATTCCCTTTTATTCCAGAAGTTTGGTCCTTAAGGGGTTAAATAGCCAATCTGGACCAATTCTGCAAGTCAGAGATGCTTCTAGTTCAGCTACTTTGGCATGAAATTAGAAATTTACTTTAAATTCTTGACAATTCTCACTTTATTGAATAACGATGCTGGTGAAAAACCCAGAGAGAGAAGTAATTGATACTAGTTCTAAAGTGGTCATTGTCCAGATACAGTAATTGCTCGCTGCATTGTGTTAACTGTTTTCCTCCGAGTATGAATAAAAATACCTTTCTGTTGTCACTCGGATCCTTTCCTCACTGTTTGACTTGTCAAAGTGCTTTTTGTCATTGAAATACATTCCTACACAGCGCTCTTCAAAGTCATGAAGTGATTTTTGTTCCTCTTTGGTTAGAAAAAGTTCTGTAGACAAACAGATGTAAATCAGATCTAGAATGGACAATCACCAGCTACCATGGATTATGGCTTTAAGAATGATTTGGTCAGCTAAGGGTCTACACATGCTAAGACCTATATACAGGGCCAGATTAAGAGCCCAGTGGGCCTGGTGCTGACAATTATGACGGGCCTAATTACAGAATCATATCGACCAAAAACAGTAAAACACTCCAAAGCATCATGTATCTGATGGTGCTGGAGAGAAAGAAAACAGCAGCTATAAGAAAACACATACCCTAGGCTAATCTCTCTCTAATTTATGTTTTCATCTTTCAAGTAAATCCATAACCCCTAACAGCAGTATCCAGTCAGGCAGGAAGTCAATGGGCATGGTAAAAGGGTGTGCCACTGACACAAATCACGTAACCTGCCAAAAGGGGCAAACATGCCCAAAAAGAGGACATGTCTGCTCAAAGAATTAGAAGGCCAGCCTGGCATGAATGCATGTTAGGCTGCCTGTCAATCATGCAGCTGGCCAACTAAGGGCATACTATGCAGACAGCACCCTGAGCTTGGCATAAATGCATCTAATGATGCGCTCACTCAACGCTTTCTAAGGACTGTCCCCTAGCACTCGCTGGTCCACTTGTCTCCTTACCTTCTTACTAGCAGGCAGAAGATTCTGGTATATGGTCTGGGACAGAGAAAAGCTGTATGTAGTGAGTGTAGAATAAAGGGAACATGCCACAGTGTTAGAGAGACCAAAGTCACTCGGATCACTATAGGGTCAGGAACACAAACATGAATTCATGACCCTATAGTGTTAACACCACCATCTAGCCCCCCTGGGCCCCTCATGCCTCCATAAATATAGCAAAATCTTACTATATTCAAGCCTGAAGCTGTAACTCTGCATGCTGTTAGACTCATAAAAACAAGCAGTCTGCTGACATCATTAGAAGTGATCCAATCACAGTGCTTCCCCATAGGATTGGCTGAGACTGACAAAGAGGCAGATCAGGGTCAGAGCCAGCATGATTCAAACACAGCCCTGGCCAATCAGCATCTCCTTATATAGATGAATTTAATTAATGAATCTCTATGAGGAAAGTTCAGTGTCTGCATGCAGAGGGAGGAGACACTGAATGTTTGGATGCATTTTAGGCAACCATGACCCAGGAAGGATCTCTAACAGTCATCTAAGGAGTGGCCAGTGAAGTTATCACTAGGATGTAATGTAAACACTGCATTTTCTCTGAAAAGCAGTGTTTACAGCAAAAAGCCTGACGGTAATGATTCTACTCACCAGAACAAATTCAATAAGCTGTAGTTGTTCTGGTGACTATAGTGTCCCTTTAACTATATTCATTGTCAGCCAGTCCACACAAGTTTTGTTCCCATACATCCCTCTTAAGTTTCCATACTTAAGTAAGAGTATGTGAAAAGTAGTTAGGGTTGCCACCTTTCTTGGAAAAACATACCGGCCTTACTAATTTGCATAATTAAATATGTATGGGTGACATCACATGATGTAAATCACAAGGAGTGACATAAGAGAAAATGCTGTAAAATCACCAAAAAACTACTTAGTTTGATTCTGCTGTATAGATGGATTCCTCCCAGTGCCCCCATGTCTCCCAGTGCCCTCATGACTCAGTGCCCCCATGTGTCAATTACTCCAGGTCTCAGTGTTCCTATCTATCAGTGTCTCAATGCCCCATGTCTCCCAGTGTCTCTTAGTGTCTCAGTGTCTGCCATAATGTCTCCCAATGTCCCTTAGTGTCTCAGTGTATGTCTCCTTGCAGCCTTTCCCCCATCCCTTACTTCCCTGAGCTGTAGGCTGTATCTACAGGGTGAGAGTTGTTGTCTGGACTCTCTGTAGCTGCACCCCTGCAGATCAGTGAGTATAGATAGGCAGGGAGGGATATGCTCAAATACTGCGACCCCTACTGGCCAGTGCTGGTATTGCAGAGTAATCTCTTGTTTATACTGATAAAAATACCAACATTTGTATTGCCAGTATCACTGCAATATTGGCACCAGCCAGGCAGCCTCAAATACTGGCTGTGCCAATAAAATAAAAGCCAGGTGGAATCCCTAAGAGTAGTGTGTGGAAAAAAAAAATGTAAAAAAAAAAAAAAAAATTGTTTTTTTTTTAAATCAATGGGCCTGGAGCTGCAGCTCCATCAGCCCCTATGTTAATCCGGCCCTGCCTATATATGGGGAAGCCTCTAGGTACTATGATCAATGTAAGAGTCACAGTCCTCACCAGCTGCTGTGCCAGATGTTGTGTGTCACGGTTTATGAGAATCATAAATGTCAGCTTAATAAAGGAATTACATTTTGGGTAAAATAAAAAATCTAAAAAATACAAGTCAAAATAACATTTTTAAATATTTATTTTCATTTCTATACAGTTTACCAAACATTTAATGTTTTTGTTATACTTGGTTCATCTAACTCAAAAGTTCCTTAAAAGCATGTATTTAGGACTTTAAACCCTTAAAGACGAAGGATATTGTCCATGTTCTGAACCAAAACAAATTTGAGCTATATGTCTGTTCAACCATAATTTACCTCTTTCATTTTAAAGGAACCCTTTAGGGTCAGGAACAACAACATGTATGCTTGACCCTATAGTGTTAAAACCACCATCCAGCCCCCCTGAGCCTCCCTAAATATAGCAATATCTTACTTGTGCTCAAATCTGCAGCTGCTGGCTCTGCCTCCTGATCTGCCTGCTTAACTAACATCATGAGAAGTGGGTTTCTGAGCCAATCACAATGTTTTTCCACAGAATTGATTGAGACTGTCAAGGAGGCAGATCAGGGGCAAAGCCAGCACATCTCATATGAGGAAAGTTCAGTGTCTCCATGCAGCGGGAGGAGACACTGAATGGCAGTCACACTGGGCAACACTGCCCCAGGAAGCACTTCTAGTAGCCATCTAAGGAGTGGCCAGTGAAGTTATCCCTAGGCTGTAATGTAAACACTGCATTTCCTCTGAAAAGACAGTGTTTACAGCAAAATGCCTGAAGGGAATGATTCTACTCACCAGAACAAATTCAATAAGCTGTAGTTGCTCTGGTAACTATAATGTCCCTTTAAGTGCACTCAGGCTTATTATATATATAATTTTGTTCAGGAGAAATATATATTTTACTTCATATATTTATATATGAATAAAATCTAGAAAAGTGTGAGAAATTAAAAAATTTTATTTTGCAAGTTCTGCATGGCATTGTAATTGTGAATGTCATAATACTATTATTACCTTTTACTGCAATAAAACACTTATTCGTATGCTGTGATGTCCCACAAGTACAACAATACCCCCATGTACAGTTTTAATAAGGTTTTGAAAAATTACAGGGTTGAATAAAGAGCTTGCCCATTTACATTTTTACAAATTTAAATTTGCCAGATTTGTAAATTTGCAAAAGTAGGCAACAAAGGGTATTCACTATAGGGTATGTACAGTCTTTTTTTAGGTAACCACTTACAGGGGCGGACTGACCACTCAGGCACGAGACAGCCAGGGGCTTAGAGATCTCTCCAACTGGAACGGCAAAATAAAAAAAAAATCTCTTCCATTGATAGATTGTGGAGCCCCTGATGGAGCGCAGGGCCCCAGCAACCTACCGCTCTGCACATCCCCCCTCCCCTCATCCTCAAATGAGACCTGGCAGCATTACCTGCTCTCTCTCTCTGCCAGGTCTCCTGTTTCCTGTCCCAGGCGGCACTCTGAGTGATTTTCCTGGCACTGAAGAGTCCCTTTAATTCTTTCTATTCAGTTATCTTGTATATCTATCAACACACCTGTTTTGTTTGCGTACTTGTGGCTATTGCTTATGTTAATGGGTGGTTTGGCCATCAAATATTTCCCCCACATTCCCCCAGAGTGTATACGTGTGACTGCGTTGATGTGCTTGCGTGTGCGTTCATGACTAGGTTTTAGAATCCCACTAAAAGCAAGAAAAGATGAGGGGATGGGTCTGCGCCAATTTGTACACTGAGTATTGAGTCCAATAGGATCTATGTTATCGTGTCCAAAGTTCTATTTTTGGTGGTATCCAGAAGGTATCGATGTCGTGGAGAGTAATCCAAATATGTAAAAATAGCAGAGATCTTTCTTACAATTTGCAGAGCTTAATCCAGCTCTGGTGTGGATAGCTTACAGCGGTATTATCCCCGCTTACAGGATATACGGCAGGTGTCCTCTTCTTTGTAGTAACGGGTGGCCAAAGTTGGAAAAAAATTAAATAAAAACAGTAATGGTGCAGTATGTTCTACACTTATATAAAAAAATATATAAAATATGATAGATACACTCACATTCGGTAGAGCTTTGACTAGCTCTAGTTGGTTAGGCGTACAGCGGTATCATCCCCGCTTATAGGATATATGATGAGTGATCTTGACCGGAATATCAGGAGCTCGGAGAGAAGGTAAAACAACGATAGTGCTCTCAATAAAATCTTAATGATAAAATAAAATAATAAAATACACTCACAATGTATAGGGCAGACTAACTGCTCTATGTAACAGCATAGGTGGTATGATCCCCACCTAGAATTCTTGGAGTATAATATGCAGGACTTAAAAAATAATAAAAGAAGTATATAGTATAAAATGTATATAAAACGTTTATAAAATAGCCAGGTAACAAAAAAGATGATGGTTTAAACGTAAAAATGACCAAAATCTTTTTATTAACAATATATAAAACAGTAAATATATAAAACAGTAAAAAATATCCAAAAGATTTTGGTCAAAAATATCCAAACGCGTTTCGCCAGTATAAGGCTTTATCCATTGATAAAGCCTTATACTGGCGAAACGCATTTGGATATTTTTTACTGTTTTATATATTGTTAATAAAAAGATTTTGGTCATTTTTACGTTTAAACCATCATCTTTTTTTGTTACCTGGCTATTTTATAAACGTTTTATATACATTTTATACTATATACTTCTTTTATTATTTTTTAAGTCCTGCATATTATACTCCAAGAATGACCAAATTATAAAATAGCCAGGTAACAAAAAAGATGATGGTTTAAACGTAAAAATGACCAAAATCTTTTTATTAACAATATATAAAACTGTAAAAAATATCCAAACGCGTTTTGCCAGAATAAATCGAAACGCGTTTGGATATTTTTTACTGTTTTATATATTGTTAATAAAAAGATTTTGGTCATTTTTACGTTTAAACCATCATCTTTTTTGTTACCTGGCTATTTTATAAACGTTTTATATACATTTATATACATTGATAAAGCCTTATACTGGCCTGCATATTATACTCCAAGAATCATAGGTGGGGATCATACCACCTATGCTGTTACATAGAGCAGTTAGTCTGCCCTATACATTGTGAGTATATTTTATTATTTTATTTTATCATTAAGATTTTATTGAGAGCACTATCGTTGTTTTACCTTCCCTCCGAACTCCTGATATTCCGGTCAAGATCACTCATCATATATCCTATAAGCGGGGATGATACCGCTGTACGCCTAACCAACTAGAGCTAGTCAAAGCTCTACCGAATGTGAGTGTATCTATCATATTTTATATATTTTTTTATATAAATGTAGAACATACTGCACCATTACTGTTTTTATTTTATTTTTTTCCAACTTTGGCCACCCATTACTACAAAGAAGAGGACACCTGCCGTATATCCTGTAAGCGGGGATAATACTGCTGTAAGCTATCCACACCAGAGCTGGATTAAGCTCTGCAAATTGTAAGTAAGATCTCTTCTATTTTTACATATTTGGATTACTCTCCACGACATCGATACCTTCTGGATACCACCAAAAGTAGAACTTTGGACACGATAACATAGATCCTATTGGACTCAATACTCAGTGTACACATTGGCGCAGACCCATCCCCTTATCTGTTCTTGCTTTTACCATTGATTTCCAAGGACACTAGAGGGAGTCCTTGTTTGGGACTGCTGCCTTCCCGATTAGCGCTGACTCTACCCCTTGTTTTGGAATCCCACTACTGGATATATCCTCAAAGAAAATATTCTGCATGTGTTTTTGGGGTGTTTATGAAAAAATAGTTTGCAAAAGCTGCAGACCTGCTGTCTGCAGCCTTTGTAAGCCATTCCCTCTTTCTCTAACACAGATCTTTGGTCTATTTGCAGGGAGTCTTTCCAGTGCTTCTCAATGAGCTGTAATACTGTCTACATTCTAGCCCACACTTCAGCAAGCTAAAGTTCTATAAGTATCTCGAGTGTTCCTTTAAAGCAGCTCTGACCTAGCCGTTCCACCAAAGATGTGCCTGGCATCACCGTCCCACCCCATCCAATGTTTGGAGTTATGTAATCCTTACTTGTTACATGAGGCTTGGATCTTCTTTTCTGTGCAAATAACCAGCTGGTGAAGGAGGCCACGTAACTAATCAAACTTAGTGGTGGAGGAAATATAGGTTTGTTTTGATAAAGCATGACAAAATGATATCTCTGGAACTTCCAAAGCATGTCCGACATCGCTTTACCTTGCATATAGACATTACTAAAGCAAGAAACAAGAACAAAATGTGTTGTTAATCCATGTATGGGTCACCTATAGCTTTGTATACAGTGGGTTAGCATAGTCAGACATACGATATCATTTATACAGATAAGATAGCAGTGATAGATGTCAAAGGCAAATCTATAAATATGCTTTTAAAGGGGACCTTTCACTAACCAGGATTTTTACTTTTAAATGTAGCTATCCCCTACAGTTAACAAATATGTGTTTGTATGAGATCTGAAAAATGAAACTAAATTTCAAAATCCACACAGCTCTGGAATTTTCTGGAATTCAGGATCTCCTCTTGGCTCACTGTTAACCACTGTCCTTTTCTACCAACGGTGAATATCGCACATGGAGGTACTGCTTCTCCTCTCCGAATGCAATGTGTGCCAGGACTGAATTGTAATGTAATTGAATTGTAATGTCAAACAATTGCTAAATCTTTAATAGCATGTGCACACATTATACTAACACTTCCCCTACTGGTTCTGTAAATTGATTGAAAAACAATAAATTCATCAAATTATCATTAGCATAATGGCATGTTTCTGTCTGGCATCCAACAAGGAGCTCTTCAAACATTTTGTTTACAATAAGCTAGCTGTGAGGAAAGTACCTATTTGACTGATCTTTCTCCCTGGTATTAGGTATTGCAGAACATATTCCTCTGCCCTATTTACTTTGGAAGAAAATTTGAACAAGCTTCATGCCCCACTCCCCATCCCATAATCAAATACACATAATTCAATATCCATATGGATTATAATAGATTAAAAACATGCCTGTCATCACTGTACTTGGCGGTCCATAACCTTCACACTGTGATGTAATCTAAAAGCCCATGAAGGTGACAGTTTTTTAACCTTACGATATCTGTCTTTTAAGCTTGTTGTGACAAGACTGACATGTAAACCACAAGTTAGGCCCAGTTTTAAGACAATAAAGTGTTCTGTTTTGGTGGCGTTAAAAGCAGCAAAATTTGACATTTGGATTGTAAGCACTTTGTCAAAAGTCATTAGATGTTACTGAAGTTACCAACATTTGATTGTAAAGCATTCTATAATCTTTCAACATATCTAATTTAATGACTGAACATTTCCATAGAAGAAAGAAAGAATACATTACAAATTTTCAATCCAAAAATATATGGATGGACACTATTATATTACTTTTTAATACTCGTTTTTATATGTACTTACTTAAACAAGGCAATGAGAAGATTAACCAAAAGGATGTACTGTATAATCAAGTAAAATCCCTGGAGAAAAGGCACCAGCCATGTTCCAGGGCCACATAGTTCAGGAACGACAGACTCGTTGGCGCACACTTTGAAAAGGAGAAACACAAATTCATGTAGTGTAAACAAACAACTGTTAAAAATCAATGAAAGCTGAATTGCATTTAGAGAACCATATCTCAAGGTAAACATTGTGAGGAAAGATATATCGCATAGTATAGATGTCATTTAGATGCATTTTATAAAGGGTAATAAAAACTATTTCCCTTTGATCCCTTCTGATTATTAATCAATGTGTCATAGTGAATATTAGGTTATATATATTTATATTTGGCTTTTCTGTCATAATTATATTATTTAACCACAGCACCTGAAAATGATGTTTGTGTTTCTATACTAGTATTTTTCACACCTGTAGGATGCAATATGAGACAGGGGATACTATATCATCTTTAATACTTTTTTATCTCCCAATATTTCTGCAAATGATAAACAAATAAATGGGGAACTGATCTACAAAAGAAGGGGCCGAGTCTTTTTGTTGGTTTTTTTTTTTTTGTGTTAACAGCATGGTGACTATATTTTTACTTATATGTGACATTGCAATTAACTTTATCTGGGCTTGGAAACAAATACATGAAATTAATAAAAAAAAAAAAAAAAGTGTTTAAATCAGTGGTAGTCAACCTTTTTCTACTTACCATCCACTAATGCATCTTTTTGGTTGAAAAAATTTCCTTACCGCCCACCAGTTTTCGCGCAAGTGCGGAATATTTTTTAGAAAGGAGGGTGTTTTAAAAAAAATAAATGTACGTACATTTATCTTTTTATTTCTACTTAATGCATGTTTATAATGTTTTTAACTTTATAAAGTTTAATGAGAAAACAATAAAGTAAATTGAAATTACCTTTACTAGTGATTAATGAGATCCTTGAGGTTGATGCTGCAAGACTAAATATTTGATATCTGGTTCGATTTTCGTAAGGAACAAACGAAGGTCTCCTCTTTCGATGATATTTAGACGACTTCTCTGTTTGCGCATAATATGATTTTTCATCTGTGCGTCAGCTCTCCTCCTCTCCCTCCTCAATTCCCCTCCCCACCTTTTTTTTTTAAATTTTTTTTAAAAATTTTTTTAACCTTCCTTATAGCAATGCCCAGTAGGAAGGCTGAGCTAGGTATCCCACTTACTATTACTTACTATAGCCCACTATAACAGACAGGCACACATACATACATACAGACACACACACAAACACATACATACACACATACAGACATACAGGCACACACATACAGACACACAGACAGGCACACATACAGACATACACACACAAGACACATACATACAAACAGAATAACACAGACATGCATACAGACACACACAGACATGCATACAGACACACAGAAGACATACATACAAAGGCACATACACACAGACAGACACAAGACACACATACATACGACACACATACATACAAAGACACAACACGTACATACAAAGACAAGACACACATACACACACATACAAAGACACACACATACATAAAAAGACACATACACAAGACACACATACAGACACACACATACATACAAAGATATACACACACATACAGACACATACAGACAGACACATACAGACAGAAACATGCATACAGACAGACACATACAGACAAACACAGACACACAAACACATACAGACACACACATACAGACAAACGCATACAGACAGACACACGCACACACACAAGACATACATACAAAGACGCATACACAAACAAACACACTAAATATTTTAGTCACCCTCCTGTTTCCTACCTTTAAGGTGCAGGAGGGTGACTTTCCATGGGGTCCAGTGGTGGCTCAGGTGGATGGGTGTCAGAGTTCCCACTCTGACTCCCTGGTCTTCCTCCGGCGTGGCTCTCAGTGTTAGCTGGGAGGAGTGACGTGCAGTCACTTCCTCCCAGCTCGGTGATGTAATCACAGGGGGCCGGGTCGCGCTGTTAAACTAGGTGGCCCAGCGCTGACCGGGCCCCCTTACAATCCACATCCATCGGGTGGCCCTGACAGCATGGGCCACCCGATGGAACCCTCCATATGCGGCCCCGGTGGTTTGCCGCGCAGGCCGGGGACGCAAATGGTGATGGCGGTACCCGGTCGCAGGGGTACCGCCGGCTTGCATCCGCCCGCCCGGTCTCTCAAAATTAGAAAATCCCTACCGCACACCTGGAATCCTGAAACGCCCACTAGTGGGCGGTAGCGACCAGGTTGACGACCCATGGTTTAAATGAACAGAATTATATTTTCTAGGTACTCCTTAACAACAAATATGAAATAGTTATTTGAGCAAACAAGAAACCTGATTTATTTTATTATAATTATTATAGAATCAATTTTTTCCCCCATATTTTGAAAGTCACTTCAAATTGAGTTTCTTGCTTTGTTTTTTATCATCAATTATTATTATTATTGGCATTCATATAGCGCCAACATATTCCGCAGCGCTTTACAAAATTATAAAATGGCGAAATGTTACAATAAATTAGACAATTACAAAATGTTACAGGAACAATAGGTTGATGAGGACCTTGCTCAAACAGACTTACAATCTCGAGGATATGGGGTTTAAAAACACAATAGGAAGTGGGCAGGGTTGGGTGGTGTGGGGGCGGACTGTCGAACTGACGAGCAGCTCCTATAAAACACCAGATTTGTCCCAAAATTTGCCAACTCGCCCAATTACTTTGCAAACTAGAATGGTGAAATACACCAGCATTATTTTAATGCTGGCTTGTAATCAATCGCACTTTGAATGTGGGGACACCGGTGCTTTGGACCTGCCCCCTGCATTGGCTCCAGCCTGGAAGTCAAAGCTAGAGGCCTGCTACATGCTCCAGATGTCGGAACTGGACGGTCGAAATACACCAAAGGAGCCTGGTTACCGGAAAGACCAAAGTGACTTCTGCCACTGCTTTGCTCCCCTACCAGCTGGTGGGGGTTATCCTGGCCTCCTCTTTAACATTTATTACTTGCCGTACCTGTCTGCGAGTGAACCACCTCTCCTAACATAGCTTACTCATCTCACCTATTCAAGCTTCCTCGATACTCTAATGCTCACCTGAGGAATGGAGCGGTGGAATCTGTGCACACATGCCGCATGGCCTAGTTTACCTTCGCTATGGTGACCTTGGGGGCTGCTGGTCATGGCTGGTCATGGCTCTGAGGCTGTGCCGGGCCAAGAAAGTGGAGCCTCTGCATCTAGATTTTGAGGGGGGCTTGGCAAAAATAGTTTCTGCCACTGTGAGCCCTGATGAATGGTGCCAGCCCTGTGTGGCTGGAGACGGGAGAGACATACAAGGCATCCATCCTGCCCTGCGGGAGTTCTTGCAGCATGGTAGAGGTGCAGGAAGAGGCTGCTCTGTGCTGCACTAGCATGCCTTTGGGTGCCAACTATGCTGGAGGTTTCTCTCAAATGGCAGTGATTATATTAAAAGGTCTGCATGGACATACTATACACAGCAGAACAACTACATTAAACTGCAGTTGTTCTGGTGACTATATTGTCCCTTTAAGCTTAACTTTGTCTCTGCAGTTTCTAGAGTTTTGTGACTGTCAAAAAAAAATAACAACAACAAAAAAAGAAATACCTTTTAATTTCTTGAAAATTCTCTAGCTAGGAATTAATTTGCCCGCATTTTGTCAAATATGCTATAAACCAATATCCCAAATCCTGAAGTGACATTTGTAAAGACTTTTTAAATCCAATAAATAAAAGTATTTTTGATGTGTTGCTTGTTTTTAAACATTTTGTCCTTTATTCACCAACTTTCAGCAACAAAAAGAATTATGTGAATATCAAATTGGCTCACAAAAAGAGCAGATACATGTAAAAATTAGTAATTCAAAATATCAGGACACATAATTTGAAGATTAATATTGTTTTTAAATGTATTTTTAGTTGTTGTTTGATAAACCCATAAATTCACACAATTTATAATAAGTTGAAAATTCTACAAAACATGTAAAATGCAAGCTAACTTGAGAGCATGTTTATCTGCAAAAAAAAAATAATCTACTTCTATAATTTGTAATACGTACCATCTATCTCATATGCAAACATTTCACCGTAAGTCATCCAATATGGCCGAAAAACCACTTCTTTTGCTGTATACCAATTAGGTGGCTCTCGAGGATTGAGGATTGCCCTCCGTGGGACACCAAAGGCAAATATCACAATGCCCATAATCACAATGATCGAAAACATTTTAGTTAACTATAACAAACAAGAAAAATATATATATAAACTTGATTTTTTTTAATTAGTTCACAGGGTATATAAACACATTCTGCTTTTTTACTTAATTAAAATCATAATATTATTTTCTTGGCTTATTCCAGTGTTATGCCTGAATGTAGGAGAGTTTATATAGAAAGAACTATGGAAGGAAAGCACACGTGATGTTGTAAAAAAAAATTACAAGCAATGATAGTAATTTACCTTTCAAACTGTGAACAGTATAGTTCAAAATACACATTAGAACTACTTTAGCAAGTTGGCTGATCACAGGTTAAAAATATCCAGTAACGTGTTCTTTTAAAAGAGAAGTCTAGGCACCATAACCATAACTGGCCATATTTGGCCAAAATTCCAAACTTGAGAGAAATTGATGTCACTAATTCTAAATAACTAAAAATTCCACATTAGTGCAATTACAAAATAATGTCACCATACACATGCCTAGGATCCATGTAAGTGTTAAACTATTAGAAAACTATTTGATTTCTTACAATGGGACGTTACCAGGGGACTCCTGGCACCATAGCCACTACAGCTGGCTAAAGTTGATATGCTTCTTAGACTGCTGCTTTAAGATGCTATTTCATTCAAGTATTTGCTCTGCACATATTTCTTCTTAACTACATCATAGTACTACATTTATAAAGGCAATAAAAAGTTTTGGCAGTTAAAAAGCAAATGAGAAAAATATAATAAAATGAAATTACTGACACTATATTTTCTGCAGAACATTAACTTTTATGTATTTTTTTTATTTTTTTTTACTACTAGTTGGTTACTACGTGGCCACAAACTATAAGTCAATGATACGCTAGCAATTGAGAAGAGTTTGATGTTTTGATGTGCTACTGATTTACCAAATGTTATTACAGGGCAGTACAAAACTGTTTTTTTTCTTCTTACAATAAAATAAAAAATACTTACCATCTTACCAATCATTAGAACGTAAGGGCCAGCATCTTGATTCACATTTAGAATATCCAGTAACCTCACAAACCAAAATATAATATTGAGACAGTAAATTATTCTTCCAGCAATAAAGATAGAATTAGCATACAGATCGTTCTGATTTGCCAACTGGATGGTGCTCAGTCTTAGACCAAATCCAATAAGAAAAATTATTATTGCAAAAGAGTCATTGATGTTCATGTAGCTGTTTAACCACAATTTCAGCTTCTGAGTGGTTTTTCCAGCTTCCGACATGACAATCTGAAATATGAATCAATATCAGAGTTTGAGATATAAATGCAGATTTATGTCAAATCAATCAATATACTACACAGAACATTAAACTGTTACATACTGTAGATTACTTATTATAAGTCACTATTTATAGGCCATTTGGACTATTCTCAGTGGAATTAAAAACACATTATTCAGGGGGATATAATGTTTAATTAGTGGGGTAATAGCTTTTTGATCCAAGGAGAGATCTAACTGTCATTCTGGTCAAGAAGGATTTTTATTCCAAGCTTGTTGCAAAAGTTGAAAGAGCTTCAAACTGGGAACAGCAAAAAAAAATGTGAGAAAGGCTGAACTTGATGTCTCTTTTCAGCTATGTAACTAGCTATGACACTGATTTTACAAGATCTTGTAAGATCATAGTCCTATGTCTGTAGTCACCATCACGGTGGATGGAAGACAGACACTATGTGTGGGTCCCGAGATTCCTCTTCTGTTTTGGCGCCCAGTTTTGATACAAGGTATGTTGAATTTATTGATTGCCTGTGCCTTTTTTCCCGTCCTACTGTTTCCCCAGCAGGGTGTTGTCCCAGGGATACTGCCAGACCAGTATAAACTAGCTGCCCTGTCCCTCTTCAATCTCCCATTTGGTTCTCAGCCCTTACTATTGTCTGGCCCCACCTTACCATGCACTATAGTGCTCTATTCACCCTACTGAATGTAAATGAGGCTGTTGGGGGCATACATATGTGTGCTGTGTTCATTAAAGGTAGTTGTTGTTTTAGCCTTCACCAAGTGTTGTCTGGTGTTTGTGAAAAGTGCTCTGATTACTGCTCTGCTGATGGAAAGGGTGTCCAGGGTTATAATCCTAGTAACCTGGTCCAGGGTGGAGAAGGCCCTTAAAGATCCCATTCAAGCCTCGGCGACTGGATCTGAAGTGCTCCAGGGTCCCTGATATCTACGAGGAAGCGAACTTGGCGGAGGTACTCGGTCAGAGTACTGGAGCTCCATCACATTTGGTGGCAGCTGCAGGATCGACTTCCTCCTTGCAGGATACCTCTGGAACACCTTGGGATATCTGATGGAAAACCAGTACGGGAGTTTCTCATTGGAAGAGGTTAAGGAATCAGGGTTCCTGGAAGATGCACTAAGGAAACTATCCCTGTTTCGGAAAAACCATACCAGCAGAGATAGTGCTTCAGATTATGGCAATGGCTGCAAGAGCAACCATAGCATTGAATTCCAGAGTCGACTGTGGGAGGCACTTAACCTGCTCGACAGATCGGTTTCAGAGAAGTAGCTGAGGAATCTGGGGATCCACACATAGTGCCTGTCTTCTATCCGCAGTGATGGTGACTACCGTCACAAGTCCATCTTAAAATAGATCGAATATTTTTAAGTTTAACAATAAAAATACAGAAATATTAAAGGATCACTCCGAGCGCCATAACCACTACAGATTACCATCAGCTGTTGCATGATCTGAAAGTACCAACAGCCTGGAATATAAGTTGAATGTTGGGTTGTTGGAGGCTAGTCCTTGTGTTCGATGAAGCATGTTGGGGTTTCTGCTCACTCTGTGTTGACTCTGTTTTGGGGAGCATGGTGACAGTCCCCAGACCTGTGTGCTGAGAGTTGAATCACTTGGACTTATCAGCCAAAAGCATCTTTGTAAAGAATTGACTCCTGCCTGGAGGAAGGAGCACTCAGACGAGGTGATATCTACTTGTTTAGAGGGTAGAAGTGAAGACATTACCTTGAAGAATTGTAGTAGTGGTTTCTGGTGCCAGCGGACAGGGAAAGACAACATATCTGGAAAGGTCTTTATACCAGGCTGAGGGCCATTCTACTCTTTTCCTGTTACAGCGTTCACTCATGCTCTCTCCACTCACTCACAAGATAAAGCTCCCTTTCCTTTTAGCACTCTATATATCTGTTGCACTAAAGTGATCTGATAGTAACCCTAATTGAGACAAGTAATATGATAACATATTAGATCAATATTTATGCCAGCATGCAGGGTTGATGGCTGCAAGATGGGCAGACACAGAGTGTCACCATAGAAGCAAATGAGTGCAACTGTGACAACAATGACATAGGTTCACCATCACTGACCTACTGCAGAGATAAAATATAATTAATTATTCATTAACTATGCACCTCATGGATTTTCTCCAAACCCGTAGTAAAGATGACAGAGATCACGATCCATTCCTGAACTGATGGCATAACCTGCATTTCAGTCAGGATAATATACGAATAAAGCATCAGGAACCCCAGGTAGACCATCTAAAGAAACAAAAATCATGATCATGATAGTTTAGTTAGACAATTAATCTGAAAAACTTTATGTTAGTTAAGGAAACAGAGTTGTTTCATGGACGTATGTACATAATTGCAATAGATAAATTTGCTTAGTCTGCAATATCATGCCAGAAAAGCTTTATAGATTCATACAAAGATCAATCACCCAAGAAGTGATTTTAGGCATTTAGTGGATAACACCTCTTCAGTACCTTTAGATCTATATAGCTCATAAAAAGTGTTTACATTCTCATATACTACTATTTTTATAATTTTAGTACATTTCAAATGATATAATGTCTCACTTACTGTATTAAACCAGAATTTCACAATCGGCGCGTGGTAAAAAGCATAGAATGTCCGTACAAGCGAAACGTGTCTACGTTTTCTTTCATGCCTCAGTCCAGAGGATTTTTCTTGAAGACCATCAAAAGTTTTAATCTCATTAAACACATCCTGGAACAAACATTCAAATATACATAACATAAAACTTTACATAAACAGAGTATTGATCAACTGATGCACTGCACACAAAAAATACACAAATAAATAATTATGCTCTCAATAATATATGCATGTGTATTGTTTAGGGTTTGGCAATGTATGCAAAGATTGTAGTAGAGTAGCTCCATCAATTTGTAAGACACATTTTTGAGCAGCAATAGGATTAAGATCAAAATTACATAAAGTTTTTAAGTGAAACTGAAAAAGTGTTGCATATAATGTTAAGACATTAATAGTAAATATGTTGTTACAGGGCTCCCCTTTGATGTATCCAATCTGTGTGCATAGAATGAATGCCAAATAATGGGAGATGCCACCAAGTCAAAACTGGCTAACCGATACATGGCTCACTGGCCAAATGCCTGGTTGTAGATCACCTTTGTTTGGAGTAACTACGAACACATTAATAAGAAAAGAAATGCAAAAATCAGATAGCTTTCCTGTTCATGTTATGTTGCCAACATAACAGCACACGCATGGATATATATATATATATATCTCCTAGTGTATGTTACTATTTATAATACTGCAATAATTAACTGGTAATGCAAGAACAAAACATCGTTTCCAGTTTCGCCGATGAAGCATGCAAGAATGCATTGCATTGACTGCTGGCGTATACTATTCTTGCACACAAAGTTGACTGGACATATGCAAATATGTCATTATCTCCACTTTATCTGCATTGTTCAAAAAAATAATTTGATAACTAGCATTAGGTTATTTTCCTACGCCAGGATAATATATCTATAGAGCCCATCATTATACATGTGGTCAGGCCCTATTAACTGCATGAAAGTAGCTTTTACATAGACTCACCGTTATTATTCCTTCTTCTGAGTATGTAACCACCTCTTTTTCATCTACTATCATCTGGTGGGCATCCTGAGACTGTGGGATGTGAGACATTTGTTCCTTGGTTTTGTATCCCAACAATGGAATAACTGGCGGGAACCAAAGACCTAACATCACCTGCAAAATGTTAAAATACAGCAGCAAATTTGCTTTTAAATGAATATATTTTTTCATATTTACTCAGTACTTGCAATTTAAGAAGATATGATTTATTTCTTATACTGCTGAGAGCATGAGCTAAGGCTGAGCACATATATGGGGGACTCATTCACTCATTCACAAATGAAAATTTTACCATTGTTGAAAACCAGCAATGTACATTCATCCCTCACTAAATGAACCCCATTGTGGCAGTACAATAATGCTACAATAACAGAAAACTATGCATGTTTATTGCTTTGCAATTAGAGATGTCAACCTCAGCCTTCCAATCAGTAGTACACTAAGAGTCAGTCAATGATGCTCATCTACAAAAGGATAACAGAATAACACCTATAAAATAGTGGGAAAGCACTCAGTGCGGGTGAAAAAACAAATAGGTAAATTACCCCTATTCATTCTCTCTATATAGATAAAGACTCCACAAAGTCTTCGAAGCAAAATACAACTAATACCAAAAAAAGGGTTATCTACAATACAGAATATAACAAAGAAACAAGGTGAGGGAGATTCCTCTTTTAGTCACATAAACAATAAAATAACATGAAAAAAAATAAAAAAAAGGCAAACTCTAACACACTATAAATAGCCCTACGCGTTTTGTTTATTTGCATGAACTTCCTCAGGGTAAAATAAGTGACAGATCCTTTCCTTGTGTTGTCCTAATCCTAATGCTGGATTTTCAAGTTTTTAACTTGTTCCAAATGCTTAGCCGTTAGCCAATCTGCGTGGAGATCAAGCAGCTGTGATGTATTGTCAGGAAACTGAGTTCCGACTTGCGTCTCAAGCCTCGTCTTCGAGTTTCTAATGCATTCCACATTCAAGCCGATGCGTAATATCCGCTTCTTGTTATGCGTTCCACCGGGATTTATGCGTTCCATCACCAATATCATAGTCCAGCTAAAATATGCGGCTTAAAAAATCAAGCTGGGAGCTTCGTTCCTTCTTTACCACAAGACTTAACTTTAATGTGCCTGAATACTGCCCACATCTTGTAAGTACAATTTGTATTCAACAGTTTTATGGTTATTGGAAAGTCTGCACTATTATTTCTTTTTCCCTTCCGTATGCACTGAATTTGTCACGAAGATCTTCTACAACTATAAGTGATATGCCTTCAATCAATTTGGGTTTGTGAGTGCATTTCTTAGACTTACACCTCACCCCATTTCTTTGTACAATATTATTCTATGTTTCTT